TGGGGTTTTGGGTTGTGGGTTGGGGTTGGGTTGGGGTTAGGTTGGGTTGCGGCGTTGGGTAGGGGTTGGGGTTGGGGTTGGGGTTGGGGTTGGGTTGGGGTGGGGTTGGTTGGGGTGGGTTGGGGTTTGGGGTTGGGGTTGGGTTGGGGGTTGGGGTTGGGGTTGGGGTTGGGTTGGGGTTGGGGTTGGGTTGGGGTTGGGGTGTGGTTGGGGTGGGTTGGGGTGGGGTGGGTTGGGGTTGGGGTTGGGGTTGGGTTGGGGTTGGGGTTGGGGTTGGGGTTGGGGTTGGGGTTGGGGTTGGGTTGGGGTTGGGGTTGGGGTCGGGGTTGGGGTTGGGGTTGGGTTGGGGTTGGGTTTGGGGTTGGGTTTGGGTTGGGAGTTGGCGGTTGGGTTGGGGTTGGGGTTGGGTTGGGTTGGCGTTTGGGGTTGGGGTTGGGGTGGGGTTGGGGTTGCCGGGTTTGGGGTTGGTTTGCGGTTGGGCTTGGGTTGGGTTGGGGTGGGCGGTTGCGGTTGGGGTTTGGGTGGGTTGGGTTGGGTTGCGGTTGGTATGGGTTGGGCGTTGGGGTTTCGTTGGGGTTGGGGTTGGGTTGGGGTTGGGGTGGGTTGGGGTTGGGGTTGGGCGTTGGGGTTGGGTTGGTTGGGTTGGCGTTGGGCCGTGGTTGGTTGGTTGGGGTTGGTTTGGGGTTGGGTTGGGGTTGGGTTGGGGTTTGGGGTTGGGCGTTGGGGTTGGGTTGGGGTTGGGGTTGCGGGTTGGGTTGGGGTTGGGCGTTGGGGTGGGTTGGGGTTGGTTGGGCGTTGGGGTTGGGGTTGGTTGGGGTTGGGTTGGGGTTGGGGTTGGGTTGGGGTTGGGGTTGGGGTTGGGGTTGGGGTTGGGGTTGGGGTGGGTTGGGGTTGGGGTTGGGTTGGGGTTGGGTTGGGCGTTGGGGTTGGGCTGTTGGGTGGGTTGGGTTGGATAATAATAATAATAATAATAATAATAATAATAATAATAATAATAATAATAATAATAAAAAAAAAATTCTTGAGTTGGTTGTATGTCTGTTGTGTCCTCTAAATCCACTCATATCACATTCACCCACATGTGATGGATCGCTAAAGTTATTGGTTCAAATACAGACTGGATTTTTGGTGGGAGTTTTCTCTTGATGTCAGTGATCAGTTGCAACATTTCTGTGACTGTATCATTGTAATATAATGGTAGTGGACTCATGATACCACATGTTTGTCTCAGTAGCTATGCAGAATGTTGCCAGAGGTGTGTGAATGTTGATGAATGAAGTGATTAAGTAGAGAATACTAAAGGTACGCAAACAAGTGAAGAATGTGTATGGGTGTTTTATCATCATAATCATCATCTTCCTTCATAAATTAGGCATATTGCCTGTTCCTGCCTCTTTCCATCTGATTCTTGGTCTTCCAATGTTTCTCTTTCCTCTCAGCTTATAATCAGGGCTTGCATTGGAAGTCTGTGTTGTGGCATATTTCCAATATGGGTCACACATTTCTATCTGTACTTTTTAATTTTGTAATGTACTATTTCTTTCCCTCCTAGTTCCTCTCTTATTTTCTCACTTTTTATTTGGTCTCTTAATTTATCACCGTTTACTCCTCTCAAAAATCTCATTTTTGCCGATATAATGTTCCTAAAATCTTATTTTTGAACCCATGTTTCACATCCATACAGTAGACGTGGGAGGGCCATAATATCATAAAATTTTAACTGGATTTCTTTTGTGCTTTCTTTTTAAAAGTTCTACTTATAGTTCTACATATTGCTTGAAATTAATGGATCTTGCTGGTGATCTCCCTATCTCTTCCATATGTAATTTCACACCCTAGGTAGTTAAAATGTGTAACTGGTTCTAAAACCATATTTTGAAGAACAATCTTTGTCCTTATCGATTCTTTTCCTTTAAAGGCCATTACTTTTGTTTTATTAACGGATACTATCAGATTGTACTCTATAAAATTTGCTCCAGATGGTAAATAGATCTCTGTAAATCATTTTTGTTTTCCTGCAGAATCACCTGGTCGTCAGCATATAAAAGAGTATTTAAAAATGTATTTTTGACTAGGTGAATTCCTGAGGGCACCGCATTCTTCCACCTTTTAATTATATTTCCCAGATATATGTTAAAGAGTGTTGGCAAAAGACTGTCTCCCTGCCTTGCTTTTTTATTTATAATCCTCTCCCTGGAAACAAAACCATTGTATTTTACTGCAATATTAATATTATCATACATACTTTTCACCACTTGCACTTGATGACTTGGGTATCCTTCTTCTTTCTTAATGCTCCATAATTTACATCGGTTGGCGTTATCAAAAGCCTTCTCAGTATCCACAAAGGCTAAATGTGTTTCTCTATTAATCTCCACTCATTTCTTAATTATTTGTTTTAATGTAAATATGTCATTTATTGTTGAATGACCTTTTTTAAACTACTGTAGTTTCTGAGGTATAGTGCAGTCTGCAATTGGAGCTATTCTGTTGTTCACAATTTTTGCATATACTTTGTCACCTAAGTTAAGTAGACAAATACCCCTATAGTTGTGACATTTACTTCGATATCCTTTTTTAAAATATGGAGTAATTAATGAATCTAACCATTCATCTGGTATTGCTCATCTTTGCTAACATTCATTAATTAAGAGGAGCAGTTGAAATTTTAGTAACATACCTTCATATCTCAGTAATTCTACATTAACACCATCAGGACCACAGGCTTTCCTATTATTTTGGGGGATTTTAATGTACTGTGGAGTACTTATTATTATTATTATTATTATTATTATTATTATTATTATTATTGTTGTTGTTGTTGTTGTTGTTGTTGTTGTTGTTGTTCTGAATATATCTGAAATTCTTCAAAAACACAATACAAAAGTTAGGGTGTATTGGAGTCTTGAGCCTAACTTTTTGTCCTGTAGAAATAAAAAAGGAGCAATACAGAACAAAACGGAAAACCCACAGTCGTGTGATAGAGCTGTGGGTTGATACGAGAATTGTGTGGTTTACATCTGATGGATATGATTTTCTCCTCCAACTCTCTCTTGTTCCTTGAAGGATTTGTTCTAAGATATGGGGTTGAACTTTGGAATTTATTGTTTTAGTATTAATACAATGTTATCATCATCATCTTCAGCGTCATTAGTCACGCAGCTGCTATTGATTTTGGGCAATCTGATTGCTGTTGCATTTGAACACAATTTTGAATTAAAGGATCTTTAAAAATTGTTTTTATAATCTTGAAAATTAACTTTGAAGTGATCTTAGAGAGTTCATAGGTGTTACATTATATATAAATATTATTGAGACTTTCTTATGTAAGTGTATTAATAACACTTTCTTCATTACAGATTCATCTTATTGATGAAACACCTGGCAATCGTAGTTTCAAGATGCAACCTCACAGAACATCAGTATCTCAAGCAGTGATGAATAAAATCTCTGTGTCAGGAAATGGGTCAACCAGATCAGTTCATACAAATGGAAACAGGAACTGCAGTAATAGTGGGAGTGCAGGCCGTAGCCATATGCACCATCACCTTAGTGTGGAGGAACTACGCATCATTCAGGTAGTACATGAATCATGAGTGTTGTAGATTTCTCAGCTACACAGACACCTCCCCCTCTCTTCCTCTCTTACACTCATGCACATGCATGCATGTGCACATAGGCGGTTAACAAAAGAATTTACCTCTTCAGTAATTGTTTGTATTTCTAAATATACACTAAGAGTCATTTGGATTTATGCTAAATAGGTTATTTTACAATTTACATAGCATTATTGCCAGTCAAATATTTGTAAACATTTACTATCACCTCTCATATACTTCCAAATCAGGTTATTTAAGAAACGAGTCATATGAAGGACATAGGTTCACATCATTCAAAGAGGTTTATGTATTTGGCAAGTTTTCAGCAAAGACATTTATATGATTCTGTAACACTGTGAAAGAGTCAGTAATATCCACAAATTTGGAAGAAGAGGAACACATGAATTTTATGCAAATACTTCTATTGAGTAATGTTACTTTCTTAAGCAGAAAGATTTATTGAAATGGAAGGAAGAAAAGACATTATTAATTCATGGCAAGATGATAGTTATGTTCTACTTGATTGTAGTGAAATTTCGGTGGTATTCTAATAGAAGTTATTTCTAAAACAATTTGTAACATCATTATATTTAAATAGGACAAATGGAAAATGTTTTAATTATGTAATGTATGCATTCTTTTCTTCTGTCAGAGAACAAGTCAAATTTAGAGTGAATTGATATGTCTTGAGTGAGTGTGCAGTTGTGCACATGAGAAAATCTTCCTGACAATGGTGGATCCAGTGGCCAGTAAATGTGGGATTTTTATCCACCTTCACCACCCAAGAATATGTTGTATCTTTCATGACCATCATCAGGCATTACTTTTCAGGGGAGAGGACTGTGTCAAAGGTTTTCCTTAAGTTCTAAGTAATATGCCTATTTTAAAAATATTCTTCTGTAAAATTGCCTCTTTTTATGTCTTGGAAGGTGTTTCCAAATGAAAATGATAGGAAATCAGTTAATCAATTAATTTATAGTTTCTTAATTCTGGGAAAATGTATATTCTTCTTTCTTAAGTTACAATGTTTCAGGATCAGTTAGAATCAAGTCTTCAGGTTCTAAAGTTCCAAAAGTTGCATATGTAGGTTTGTTAAAAAATATTTATGATAAAATGTAGGAGAAAAAAACAAAGGAAATATACAGCTCCATTGAATGTAATAAAACATTAAGTTTGAAAGTAGCTGTTTAAACATAAAATATGATGTTAAAACAATACAATAATCCACAAAGGTCCTTTTATAAAGTTAAAGCATAAAATATCAATCAAATAATGGTAAAATTAACGTTAAAACAATCATATTAAGAAAACATTTTAAAAATTTAAAAAGCAAGTTTTCAATATGTCAAGCTGTTTATTAAAAATACTCAGAAAGTACAAGATGCAAACAAAGAATAAAGAAGATAAATCAAGGCTCACTTGGAGAAATATACCATGGGTTGGGAGAAATATACCATGTAAATATTGTCACTTGTATGTATGGATTTGGCGTGACAGCCCGTGAACAGGCTCAGGTCTACCAGCGATGTCCTTGCCTTATGGCCATGGGTTAGAGGAGTACGTATGGTTAGCATGTAGACATCCCCTTATCGTATGCCAGACTTCTGAACCTGAGAAGTGAATTTTCTCATTATCACACAGTAACATATACTGGGACTTAGTAAGAAAAACTTACACTATAATCTAGCCTCACTGGGAATCAAACCTGGAGGCCACATTGGAGAAAGCGAACACGCTGACCAACAGGTAGCCACAAGGCTAAGTAATGTCTCTTATTGAAACATTTAAGAAAATGAATACGTACATTGGGGTAAAATTATCACATATTATGAAGATAGATGTGTGCATCATTTCCATATTAAGAAATTATAAATGAATGTACTGATTGTATGATGTACTGAAGCCTATAATTTAACAAGGAATACCCTTGTTAGTCATTAATACATTTATTTGTCTGGATTGTCGAACCCATTTTTCTTTTCTTTCTTTTTTCCCTCTCCCCCTTACTCAGTTTATGGAAGATGAGAGAAATTTGGTTATGTCATAAATCAACAATAAAACATCATATTATTTATTATATATTTAATAAATAAATAATAAAAGAAGCAAGTTACTAAAGAGAACGATGAAACAAGCAGTGCCTCAAACAAGTGTGTTTTTTGTTTAATGGGAAATCTAACACTGTATGTGCATGCGTGGGTGTGTGTGGGCGTGTGTGTGCATGTGCGTGTGTGAGGATAGTTGCAAATCTTCAAGAGGCACCTTGTGGCTGGTACTACTTGGGAGTGTGAGATTCTTACTCACCAAAACCACCTCCCTAGTCTTCTCCACCTCATGGAAGCACAGTCACAGCTTCTTTTTTATTTGAGCCACGAAAGCTTCCACTGCTTTCCACTTCTCCTGAGAAGCCAACATTCCTTTTACTTGGGCTGCAGTTGCTGCTGGCAGAGCTGTGTCCTCTCTTCTTCAAACCAGGGGCAGACAAATGTGTTCTGCATCCCCCACTACTTGGGAGCAGTGAGGGCACATTGGGTCTTCAGTCCAGTGAAAGCAGAAGAGATATCCTTGGATGCAGCTATGTCCAGATATCAGTTGTGTTGTATGGAACTCCACCTCCCCATAGCTTTGCCACTCCCATACTTCTATATTTGGGATGTGTCAATGCATCCATCTCCCCCTTTGAGAGCTAACCCATAGTCTTTGCCACTGAATCATGGACTCATATCTCTCTTCTGTGAGGCCTGTCAGGTTTTCCTTTCCCTTGTTCTGTTTGCCACGCTGATAGAGCGTGCCTTGTTCTGCCACGAGGAGCTTGATTGAAGGTATGCCTGTCATTACACACACTACATCATATGATACCGTGCAGTAAGCATGAGCCACCCTAAGTGCACTTCTTCTGTACACAGTGACTCTCTTTTTCCTGTTTAAAGCTGAATTAATGGCTGCTGCATATATTGGAGATGCATTCCGGAGCTTCAGGATTCAACTGGAGTCATCTCCGCTACTGTCTTAATCCTCCATCAGTCTGCATTAGTCTCTACTAGGCCATCATCACTTTTACAGCTTTGTCGCTGCTGATGAACTGTAGATGAGCTCTAAACTGTATCCTTACATCAATCATAATTCCTAAGTACTTGAGGTACATACTCAAGAGGATGTGTTTGTCTCCCACTAAAATGGTGATGGATTCTCTTACCTTTCTACTTGTGATGAGAATTGTCTCAACTTTTTGGTTTGCTAATTGCAAGCCAACAGAGGTTAGCCATTGGTGGACTAAGGATATGACTTCATTGGTGATTTTGACCACATCCGCTTCATGTTTGGCCACTACAATGAGTGACACATTGTCTGTGAAATCGATGATTTTGCAACTTCTGACATCTCTATTCTGAGACCACCATTGCATTTGTACATATGTTCCATAGTAGGGAGTTTGTGGAACACCTCTGGTAACTCTTATGTCTCTTGACCATCTTCCCTATATATCCCTTGGTACAACAGCATACTTTCTGTGAAGTAGATGACAATGAACATAACCAGATCGTGTGGTACTTTCATATTCTGCAGAACTCTTAGACTGCAGTTCCACCTCACTGTTTTGAAGAGGTTTTTCTCCTATAGGGCAACAATAGTGCAGTACTTTTTCCTACCCCTTCCCCACATCTTGCCTTGTATTCCCTGCAGAGCTATGTGAACTACATGTTGAGCGACATCTATTGTAGATCTCACATTTCTAAACTAATATTGGTTTTCTGCAAGCCCTCCTATGCTCTCCATTGCTTTTTCCACCCAACTGCATATAAATCACTCCAGCAATTCCCCACCCAGCCATTTCTATCAGGCTCATAAGGAGATGCTTCCTTTACTGGCCTTCCCCTTTAGGGAATTACATTAGTCACTGCATCTTCCATTTATCGTGAAACATGTCCTCTTGTGGGCACACCTTGTGTACATCTCTAAAAAGTGTAGGCAAGTCTGAATTACTGCTGTGAGGGCCTTCTGGACCTGGAGACTTGTTGTTCTCCACCCTTTCACTAGCAAGTTCGTTTTCTCTGTATCTGAAGGTACTTCATAATCATTCTCTCTAGGTCTCACCTGGAACTCCTGTAGACGCTTTTGGACTTCTGGGAAGAGCGTAGTAACTATTCTTTGAAGAATGGTTGTGCAGTCAGGCTTATGCAGGTTCTTCAGTTTGCCCATTCCATTAAGATCTTCCTCATTGGCCATTATTCACTTCATTGCAGTCTGTGTGTGTGTGTGTGTGTGTGTGTGTGTGTGTGTGTGTGTGTAAGAATGTTTTCCAGATTTAATGAGTGTTTCTTGCAACTTGATTATGATTTGCAGCGAAGGCAGGACTCAAATGGCAGCTCTTCAGATGATGGCACACGAAGTTCAGGCCATGCCAGCATGTCTGATGGTCATTTGAGTTCCTCTCCTCCTGCAGAGAGGCACCAGCACTACCGTTCACCTCTCAACTCTGTGCCTGAGGATGACAGGTATCATCACATTGCAATAACAATATTTTTTATGAAAATTATATTTTTTCAAAGTTGTTATTGTACTTTAATACTTTCTGTTTCTGCCATTGAATTTTCACAGGATTTGTTAACATTTATCTTAAAAGAAATGTATTGGTGTCAATTTCATTGGTGCTTTAACCCATTTGTTTTGGGTTTATTACTTGATATTTTGAAGCAATTAATTTTTTTTTGTTGCAATATCAGTTATTATAAATATATTTGATTTGTTGTATTAATAAGTTATTATTAATATCTTTTTAATACTTTTTACAACAATTTGTTAAATTTCAGATTGTCTGCTAGTGTGATGAGAGCATCTCGGAAAACTGGTCACACTCGCAACAGGCATAGAGCAACCCCAGCAAAGGTAAAGATGATGTGTATTATCATGACAATTTTTATAAGGAATGTTTCTGAAAGAACATTAAAAAAAATTACAATACATAAGCTTTTGCTTATGAATATAATGGGAATCATCTATAGCTACAGGAGTCAAAAGATTTGTACTGAACATTTTCAGTTGCTCTTTATTAATTATTCTATTGTGTTTTGTAATTTTTGTGGAAGTGTTAAATGTTATCAGAAATTGTTGCTTGTGGTAAAGAATGTTGTAGGTCCCGCTTAGCCTTTTTTAGATATGCAGAGCATTTAAGTCACTTTGAAGATAAATGAATCTGTATATTTGCTAGTATTTTCACATAGAAGTAGTTTTTGCAGTGAAGGTATTTTACGTTAAAATGAGGAATTTTGCAATTTTTTTCCACTGAATTGATTTGTAGATTGATTCATTTTCCATAATGAGAAAAAATTGACTGGGAACACATATGAAATAATATATTGATAAGTGTTCTGTAGTTCTAATCATAGTATTCATCTAATCATAGCATTCATTTATATAGTAAATTGAATTTTAATGTTTGCTTTCAGTTGGTACCATCAGGATCTGGTTTAGAGGACATTAAACTTGCCATTCAGCAACTGACAATGAGATCACATACTTCAAATACTGGCTATTCCACATCTACATACTCAAGTTTAAGTGGGAGTGAATCTAGTGAACCTGCCATGAGAAGGCTAATACGGCATTCGTCTCTTGAAACTATCAACACCAATGTTACAAGTGCTGATGAATTTGTGTGGGTGGAATCTAACAATAGGTCTGTAATGAACTATGAAATATAGTCCACCATTGTCATTTTTCTCTCAATTCTCGAGTCATTCTGTACTTTGAACATTTTCATGTCAGTTTTACAGCTGTTTATTGAATTAGGTCTTAATTTTTTAAGGTTGCTTCATATGTTGAACTGATTATTTTACTTTGTTGTTGTTCATCAGGTTGGTGGAATTGCAGCACCTCCCATGGTCTAATCATGATGTCCTACGAGTGATCCAGAATGGAAGGTTGAAAGAGCACATGGACAGAGTGAGCATGGAGACAGTCCCTCGCTTGTCATATTTACTACAGCGGGCTCTGGTCAGAATTAGCCGAGAGACACAGAGATTGTCTCGGCCTCTCGGCTTGTGCAGTAAGCATGAAGTGAATTCAGCTTTACGTATAATGTTGTGTCCAGCTTTGGCAGACTCTTGTACAAAGGTTGGTGTGAAATGCTTTAAGCTGGTGCAGTTGTGTACTCTTCTGTTGTGTAGGGATTGTTCACCAGTGGTTGAAACTTGATTCTTTTCAATCTGAAATACTTTCATCAATTCTTTATTGGAAGTCTTTTAAAAGCTTTGGATTTTTGTATGAGCAGCATTGTTATTGATAAATAATTAGGATGACTAATTTACTTATAAAATTGAATGGGTAGTGTGTAGTAATTTTTTGGTATGCACCAATCACGGTGTTGTATTTTTTAAAAAATTATACTGTTTTTAACTCTTTCTCACCACTGGTCAATGATAGCGGCAGCTGGTTCATGGAACTTGGCCAATAAAATATAGTGATAATTATTTGTTAGCCAACATTTTCGAAAATGTATTTCTGTCATCATGGCTTAGGACAAAAAAAAAAAAAAAAAAGATTACAAAGATAAATACCCATGCTGATTAGTTACCTCATGTAGTTAGAAGCCCACTTGTGTGGGAACACTTCACAACACCACAGCGTATCTCTGAGTAGAGTGTTGAAAATAAAAAGACATTAAATGATGTATTTAATATATTGTAATGAATAAATTTATCACTTTTGTGTTTTTCAACACACTCCTTGTGATATACACATGGTGTTATATGTTCCCACGCATATGGTCAGAGTGTAGTCATCAATGTTATGCTGATCTAGTGGATGTGTAGCAATTAGTTAGATGGCCAGCTTTGGTTGAACTGGCTTTTTCACTTCATTGTTTATGTGAGAATCAATCAAGTGAATCTTCCATGAGCAGGCTAATAAGCCATTCATCTCTTGTAACTATCAATGTTACACCAATGTTACAAGTGCTGATGGTTTTTTGTAGATGAAATATAACAATAGGTCTGTGATGAACTAAAGTCAAAACAACAAAGACAATGATGCTGGAAGTTCTAAGTAGCATTTTCATTGATATATAATTATGATGACTCAAACAACTCATAAAATTAACACAGATAGTGTTTAACAATATGTCTGGTATGCATCAATCAAGGTGGAGTAGCACAAAAAAATTCTACATTTTGTTACTCTTCCTCCCTGATGGACTGTCGTAAGCTGTGACAGAGGCCGGTTCTCGTTGGCGAGGCATGGCACTTTTGCATGGGCATCACTAGCCAGGTCTGGGCACCGCTGTGCGGGTCCATCTTTCTTAAGCGACATGGAGGGGATGTTGCTTTAAAAAGATAAATTTGCTCAGTGCACTTGCCTTTTGATGACCATGGAAATTTGCCACTGCAGTTGGTTCATGAAACTTAGCCAGTAGATTATTAGTTATAAATATACTGTACTTTGGTGATATACATGTTACTCCTTTAATATATCAATAAGGTGACCTGAATTTCTGACAGCTGACTTGTTGTCATCTCTTAGAGACTGTAGTTTGTTGACCTCATAGCGGGCAAAAGGCCTAAATGATATTTACAATGTTTGATTTTATATATTTTTACATTTATTCATTTTGCATTTTTTAAATGATTTACAATTTACCACAGTATATGCAATAATGTAAATAAGAAAAGTAGAACATTTCAAAATTCTAAGTATGGAAAAAATGAGTAGTGCTCAGTAATGAACACTATTTTTTTGTTTACAAATGCGTAAAGTTCATTTTGTTTTAAAGTGAAGTACAACAATACTTTTATTTAGAAATTTTCCATTGTGTTTGTTTTTTTGTATTTTTGAAATCTAAATTTTCTCTGCAAAACTGAAATTACCTCTTAATGCCTCCATTTTTGGAGCACTGTTTTAAACAACCACCCCTTCCTGTAATAAATTTGGCTGCAGGGTCAAAAGGAAAATCATATGAGACTTATTTCTTCATTCTTTACTACATATCCTAAATGCTTCTAAATTGGAGAGGGACAAATTGTTTCAGGTTGTTTCCTTTTAAGAGGATATGCATTCTTCCTTGCTCAGTGTAAGGTTTAAAATAGCTGTAGACTCAGTTTTTCTCTTTGTACATAATTGCTAGCACATGTAAATTAACAATCCACTCTCTTTTGCATTGTGTACTTTGCTTACCCCATCTCGATGGAAAATTTAAGAGAAGAAAATCATTATTGATAAAATAAGATTTTATATGTTGTACATGGTATAGGATGGGTTTAGGGGCGGGTATGTAGCTATTAGCATTAGAAGAGAGAAAAAATAAATTACTAGAAAATTACAAAAATCTAAATATATTAGAAAATAGAAATAGTGTAGGAAGGAAAAATGTGAAATCAAAAAGAAGGGGAAGGGAAATGGCATATAAGGAGACAGTAAGAGATGTAGAACAAAAAGGCTGATTGATGAAAATCGTATGTATATTTGATTGTTTGCTTTAGGCTTGTTTACGTGCTGCAGCAATGTTTGCTGTGTCTGGTGACTTGCAATTGAAGCAGAGTAAATCATGTCGAGCCGGATTGCAATTGTCAGTAGGCAGGTTTCAACGATGGATGGCTGATGTTCGGCTTGGAAAATTTGTTCATGAGTATGTATTCCTTTGAAATTTTGCATCCTTTTTTTGAAAGTAATTTATTTGGTTTGAAATTATGAATGTAAATTGATATTTGAATATTGAACAGAAACTTCACTTTGCTTTTTGCTAACTATTACGTAATTTGTAATAATTGTTGTAGGTATGCTGCAATTTACCTAACAGCAGGAATAGAAAACCTTCTGGAAGAAATTATTTTGCAGTGCCTTCCTACAGAAGTAGACACAGTTCTTAGTGCTAGCATGTTTGAGCATGCCATAGCAAGTAATGGTGAATTGTGGGGCCTGCTTCAGCCTTACGCCCACCTGAATGCTGGTCGCATTGCCTCGGGTGGGTTTGAGGGCATTGCTCATGAATGTAGGAGTTCTTAGCTTTGAGTCAGCTGTATTCACAAATTAAATATTATTAACAATCAATAACATTAACAGAAATCTGCGTTAACACAATGGAGTGATCTAGAAAAAATACAAATATATGAACAAGAATTCTCAAAGTGTAATGATTGGTTTAAAAAATTGGTAAAATATAGTAAAAAATTAATTATTGTATTTGAGACTGATTGTTTTTTATGATGCCTTGTGTTTCAGCATTGACAGAGCCCAGGATTACTTTGAATTTGTATTTAATTACGTTTGTAATAATACATTTTATATTTAAAAGGAACCAAAAAATGAGACTACTTCATATATTACAAAATAACCTCTGTTGTCCTTGGGCTATTTGGGCTTACAGTCGTATGATGTAAATGACATTGAGAACAACAAAGATTGAATCAATCTGTAAATGTGTTCACAGGTGCTTTAGCTATGCCTCGGTGGCCAAGTGTGTCCAGCATGAACTCTGAAGCAACTCACATCAGTGGCAAATCCCTAGAGCAGTCATTGCTTACCACTTGCGTTGGCTCAGTACAGGAATTGACAGAACTTCTAACTCGCACAAACACCCGACCTCTCACGTGGACATCATCAGCCATACAAGCATTATTCTATTTCATGCGCTGCTCTCAGGTACGCAATATTGTTGCACCTGATTCGATTGAGTCAGTCTTGTAGAATATATCTAATTTTAAGTTCAATTAACCAACATCCAAAATGGGCTGAGGTTTTCAATTCATTCTGAATATGTATTCAAATGGTTCCTACTCCTCACTGAATATTATTTTTCTATTCAATGAGAAAGATTAGGAAAGAGGAAACCATATAAATAAAATTTATTTTGTAGTGTGTGTGGAATGCACCAAGTATGGGTCGTCTGTTTGTCTCAGAAACAAACAAATGTATGTGTATATATTTATTACAAAAAAGAAGTCCTAAAAAAATCAATAGAGTTTTGTTTTTATGAATAAAATAAAAAAAACATTACTCTTAACTTGGCATTATTTTCTTTTAGTCGGAATTCTTCAGAAACATGTTTAAGACATGCCCATGAGAGTGACAGAATACTTTATGTTCCATGACACAAATATAAACACTACTACAGTATCAGATATACAATGCAAGTCGACAACTTAATAATTATGATGCAAGATGCCAACACAATGTAACTATCAGACTATGCTACCAAACACAATAACAATTGTGTTCCTGACGAGTGAACAAGACCCCAACGCATATAAACATGACAACTTTATGCTCAACAACAAATTGCAGTAGCCTCAATTGATATTTCCATCCTCCAAAAATTTTATTTGGTATTAACATCTGTAACATAGCAAAATTTCAGAGTAAACAGAAAATGCCACAGAGTGCAACATGAGTACATAATATTATTAGTAATACATGAGTATCTCCTGATAATTTTACAAAAAATTGACATTTTTATGCCTAAAGAAAATCCACACAGATTTGAATTTTTGATGTAAAAAAAAAATTAAAAAAAAGAACAAGAACAAGCATGTTTGGGTAAAAGAGGATGTGTTATAACTCTAATATTAATCAAATAAAGGCAATTTTTACCCAAAATGTTTTATTATAAAAGTAACGTAATCATCTCTAATGGGAAAATGTGATTGTTTGCTTTTGAATTTTGAACTATAATGCAATTTTCATCAAAGTTTTTAATTATGAAATATTGGCTTTTATGTTCTTGAGATATCCAGGCAATGTTTCATTTTTTTATTTTCACAGCTGGAGCATGCAGAACATATGTCACCCATTCAAGAACTGGTGTATGAGCGAGCGTACGTGGTGCTCCCACCACTGGTGGAGTGGTTGCGTGTAGCAGCTGCCCATGCAGAACACCGACATGCCTCTGCTCTTGACCAGGATGATGTGATGCAAGCTGCACGACTTCTATTGCCTGGTGTTGATTGCCCTGTACGTCAAACTGGTGCCTGTGATATGGATCCCCTAACCCCTGTCCCGACGAGTACAAAGCGTTCAAATGAGGAGGTAGAGTGTGTACGCAAGCTGAAGTCTGATCTAGCTTTTCGAATGCTGAGTAGTGGACGTTCTGATCTTATCCCACATGCTCTGCAGCTTTTGCCTGCCAGCAAGGTAAGATCTTACTGATAACAAAAAAGATATACTCTCAATTTAGAACAACTGTAGTCTGCAAATTATTTTTGAACATTATGTATACATTAATTTATTCATTACTTTTAGTTTTATTTGCTCTGGACATTACTGGTAATGTATTATATATATCTGTGTGTGCGTGTGTGTGCGTGCGTGTGCGTGCGTGTGCGTGCGTGTGCGTGCGTGTGCGTGCGGGTGTGTGCGCGTGTGGGCGCGTGTGGGCGCGTGTGCGCGCATGTGCGCGTGTGCGTGTGTGTGTGTTGCTAAAAATAATCCAGATCCAATTATGAGATGACCTTCATTTTCAACATTAAAGAAACTGCAAAAAACATGCATTAACTACACTTATCTGGAATCAGTCATTTGATAAGTACCAATATGTGTGATAATTTCCTTTCAGAAATTGAACAGTGTCAATGAAAATGGATTATCCCCATTAATGTTGGCGGTACTACGTCATGATGAAGGAGCTGTTCGCTGCCTACTTGATGCTGGAGCAGATCCTGATCTGGAAACTCCTCCACATGGAACACCTGGGAGTGCGAGTGTTCATGCTGAAACGCAGCACTGGACTGCTTTAACCTATGCTGCTCTTCAAGGAACTTGCAACATTGTGAGATTGCTATTGGACAGAGGAGCGCATGTGGAAGGTGGTGCGCGCCTCAGTGAGGACAAATGCACTCTCACTCCCCTGCAGGTACTCTCTGAAAACAGAACTGTTCTGAGCTTCATTTGCCCTGTTAGTTTTATCAACACTCTCTACAAAGCTTTAATCTCTCTGCATTAGGGGAGTTGCACCCTTTCCTATTTCCCAGAATTTTAGTAACTGTATATTGATTGGGGGATGGTCGCATTCTTTGATGTGTTTTAAAATTTCTATTTTATTTAATACCATTTTCTATGTAAATACTCTTGTTACTTCTGTAGCTCTGAAACATTGCATTTTATGTTTCTTTTATTATTCTTTTCAAAATTAACTATTAACATTTGTATTTACATTTCAAAGAAATTAGCTAGCTAACATGTTTTGGGCCATGGGAGGCAAGTGAACTTACTACAAAGGTAGTTACAGAAAATATTTAACTCATTGATGTCTGTATTTTAAAAAGTATTTAATTCTTCCCTAGATGAAATCATCCCTCACCATAATTGGTTAAATGAAATTAATGAGTTAACTTAAATACAAAATAAATTAGTGGGAATGAACAGCATTCCAAAACATTCCCTTCTCTTAGTGTCATTACTCAGTAATTACTAATATTATTAAAAAAAAGTGCATGATATTATTTAAAGATTTGGTAAGTTGAGACATATCTTTAAATTTCAGGCAGTGAGGATGCTTGCAGAAAATGAGACAAGTATGATATATCTTTACACCCAATTCATATTAGTTGTTCATAATTAAATCAATAAAAAACATCATACATTGCTTGCTATTATTAATTGGTTTATAGTGTAAATAATAAATAAAAATAGAATGAAAGGGATTCTGTAAATCTATAATTGTAATTTTATCAATTAAATCACCTGTGATCAGAAAAATGTTTGAAAGAAGAAAGAATTGGGTGTCTATCTATTATGATTCATTGAGCATATACAGAGGTTTAATCTATTATGAATCGAAACGTGAGATACTTTTCTTCATTTTATGGTTATCAATCAAATTGCATGGTTAATTATAAATTTTATCAATATAATGAATCACCGCAGATATTTTCAGGTATAGAAATCAGTGTTATGGGTATATGAAGCAACATTGAACATTTAGACTCTAAATCTAACACAGGACCTGATCTCATTCCATCTGTCTTCTTAAAAATTTACAAATTTATTTTCTCACATATTTTCAAGTTTTATTTGATACATCTTTGAATGAGGGTTCCTTTCCATGTGAGTGGAAATCTTCCTTTATGCTACCTATCTTGAAGTCTGATGATGTGAATGATATAACTAATTATAGATCCATATCAATTCTAAGTGTCATTCCAAGAAACTTTCAATCTCTGATTATAGAAGAAATTGGAAATGATATTTACCTACTTTTATCAGAGAGACATTTTGGATATATACCCGGTAGAAACATAGAAGCCAATCTTGTAAAGTATTACTCAAGTTATATTCTCAATGCATTTGAGCTTAAATATCAGATTGAATACATTGTCATTGACTTCAATAAATCATGAAATAATTGTCCATAAACTTGGGCATTTTGGGATTTGCAGACCTCTGTTTCTATGGTTTGTATCATATAAGAAAAAAAGTATGTGTAGTCGTATTTATGTCTCATCAGGAGTTCCACGGGGATCACATTTCAGACATTTTTTGTTCAACATTTTTATAAATGACATCTGTGCAATGTAATAAAAAAGATGAGAAGATGACTATTTTCGTGCTAAAGTCAACTAATGCTAAGATTTATTTAATTTGAAGAGCTCAAACCGTATCTTTGAGACCTAGATCTATTAATTCATTGTTACCTCATTAGCAAGCTGTACAATAAAGATCTGTTGTTCCATACATCTTCTTTTATTATTTCTGGATACATTATTGTGTTATAAGCACCAACATTTTCGTAATGGGTTTTGAGTAATAAACATTTTTGAGATGTGTTGGGTCCTGTATATCCATTGCAAGAATTAGTAAAATAGAATGTGGACACTGTTCCAAGTATTTCCTATTAAGTTGAGGTTTTGCCACAACAATTGAGGCGCTGAAAACAATAATGGCAGATCCCAACCAACCTCGCATTTTTAGTTAGAAGTATGATGGTTAACTCCTGTCATGTACCTGCTACAGACTGAAATATCAAATTAATTGGGATATGGCAAAATCATCTAACTCCACCTTCAAAAGTTTGTCTGGAATCAAAACAAACATCAACAAAAAGAGAAAAAGTCTTTTTTCTCAAAACAATCTTTGGTTGAGACCTATCGTTATTATTCTGAATGTCTCAACAGTTGTTAATATTTTTATCACAATCTAAGTTATGTTTTAATTAACTGAAAAAATATGTCACAAAGAGGATTCAAATGGAATGACAGCCTTTGGAGGGAATTGAATACAGAGAATAATCTTTTAATAGGTGGAGATGAATTATAGGAATGGGAAAATGACACCAGTAATGAATACTAAATGAGCAGTAGAGAAAAGGAAGTCAACATAGTTGAAATGTGTGCTATTTACAGTTGTGCTAGAAATTCAAGATTTAAACTACTTTATGATGAATATTACTGGCTTTTATTCTTTCATAATTTTTAATTGCATCAATAACTACGAAGTTTATATGACACGATTTTACAAAAATATAAGACTTGAACTTGTCACAGATGAGCTAACCAGTTGGGTGGTATCAAGAAACATGCCAAGTTGTATTAAAGACAAAGAGTAAAGGGAGCAGTGTCAAGAATTTGAAGTAAAAGACAGAAAAACTATATTTTTGCTCCAAGAGCAAGTATTTTTGCTCAAATTTCTTTCCTAAGAGCACATTTTAGTTCTCTGCCAGATGTGCCTGAGCAAAGACACATAACATCAACTTTATTAAATGTTATGAATTAAGTCCTTTGTTTATATTTTTTCAATAGTTTAAGAATATAGTTTCATTAGAAAGTTGTACCAGTAAATTAATTTTTGAACTTATTGGCAAAGACATTTAACTTCACTAGTAATTTTACATACTAACATGTGCACTGAAATTATCTTTAATTTAAGTACATTTTCTCTATTTACACATAATATATTCACTCCAAATGCTGTATATTAATTTAAAATGTATACAATTCCCACTGTTTCTCATTGAAATAAAAAGCTATCCCTGAGTCTGACAGACTCTATACATACATATCTCTCTTTCTTTCTCTATCTTTCTCTCTCTCTTTCTCTCTCTTTCTCTCTCTCTCTTTCTCTCTCTCTTTCTCTCTCTCTTTCTTTCTCTCTCTCTCTCTCTCTCTCTATCTCTATCTCTCTCCTCTCTCTCGTATACACACACACATACATAAAATCCAGTTAGATTCTTGAAACATGGAAGTCAGATAGTGATTAACATGTTTCTGGATGTAGGTGGCTGCAGCCAGTGGACATAGTGAAATGGTGCTGTTGCTGCTCTCCCATGGAGCTCACACATTCCTCTCCACTTTGCTGAAGGACTCCCTCTGTTATTCAGGGGCTGCTCAGAGAGGCTGCTACAGGTGAGAGGAAGGAGAATCATAAGCCAACCATTCTTCCTGACCAAGCATGTATTTAAATATATTAACACAATAGTCAATTTCAAACAGCCGCAGAATATTGTTGCATCTAATTTGAAATGCAATTTCAAAGGGGGTTGCAGATGAAGACAGACAAGACTGCCCCCAGGAATAAACATTTTCTTTTTATTTTGAAAATCGTAACTGAAGTGTGAAAAAAAAAAAACATGTTTTTTGCGGGATTTAAATTAATTTACCTACAGTACTTTGTACAAATGAAAAAAAACATTATTTTTTAGTTTCTTTTATAAGTTTAAATTTTTAACCACGTTACTCTAATGAATATTAACTTTAAATATCCTTGCAATTTGTTATAGGTGATAAAGATGTTTCAAGAATTTTTTCAGGCATTTACCTCCAATTTTGTCCCTTACAATTAACAAAAAAGGAGAAAACAGAAATACATTTCTTTTTTCCATAGTTTTTTAAGAATATCTCATGTTCTGACACATCATAAAAAGTGTTAAAGACAAATTATTGCCCTGTAAATCTACAGTTTCCTTTAATTTCAACCTTTTATCTTGTAATTTTTACTTCACAGCTCAATATAAATAAAACTAATTTAATAGTTTCTTATTTATTTTTTTAAAATTAGGTTTTGTTTTAATTTTTGTAGTTTTCTGCTTATCAGGGAAGATAGATAATGAAAAACAAAATTGCGAGACTAATACTATTATCTATTGTAATTTGAATATTGAACAAATTAAGATTTTAACTAGAAATAAAAAGTTTATGAACAAAATTGAACAATGTTACAAATAATGTTAAATATTATTTGTTAAAATATACATCAAGTAGTCATTACATGATGCACTCACTCATGTTTTTGATTTAGGTAGCAGATTTTGGAAACAAGCCATTTAGTTCTATGTTGAAATGTGCAGATTTACCATGTACATGCCAGATGCAGTATTTGATACTTGCGTCATCTTGTTTAACATCACCAGATGCAAGAAGTCTGCCATCTGTATATACAACAGAATGTCACACACATCATATCTATGTCAGGAACATTGAAGGGCATAGATTGCTTATCATCTACTTTCGTATAGCAAGATTCAAAAAGCTGTAAGAAGCAAAAATGCCTGTCGGAACTGTTGTCTATCAATATCAGAACCATTATCTCCATCAACTTCCAATGATCCATCTTGCACAATTCAAACTAAAGATGTGTGGAAATAGAATTAACTGAAATGTGTTGTCAGAGAACCGTTGCTACATAAAAATATTGTTTCTTGTGCTTTTCAAACACTGATCTAATTAATGTTACTTCTGCTCATATTTGTTTTTGAAGCGATGCATGTTTTTACACTGAAAGGAAATCACAATTGTGGTACACACTTAATTTGAAAATGTTGTTTATTGAACATTTGCATAATTGCAGAGCATTTTCATAAATCTACCATGTAGAGAAACAAGAGTTTGCGTTGTTATTTGATAAGCAAGGCACTGAAAGTATTTGGGTAAGGTGGATAAAATATAAAAACTCATTACTTTTAGTTAAAATCTTAATTTGTTCAAAATTCAAATTTAAAGAGGTTATAATATTACTCTTAACATTTTGTTTTTCATTATTTATTTAAATTCAAATAAACAAAAAACTGAAAAACTAGGAAAATTAATCAAACAAAACCTAGTTTTAAATAAATAAATAAGAAACTTAAATTGCTGTTTTATTTATACTGAGCTGTCAAGTGCAAATTATAAGATAAAAGGTTGACATTTTGGGAAACTGCAGGGAATTTACAGGGCTAATGGCTATTTAGTATTTTTTGATCTGTGTCAGAACATAAGATATTCTTAAAAAACGAAGGAAAAAAGTATTATTTTTTTTTATTTTTCCATTCTTTTTTGTTGATTGTAAGGGTCAAAATTGAACATTATTGCTTGAAAAAATTCTTGAGAGATTTTTATAATTTATAGAAAATTGGAAGGATATTTAAAGTCAATATTCATTTGAGTAATTTGGTTAAAAATATTTTATCTCACAGTAGTGCTCAAAAAAATTACATCGCCTAAAGAAAATGGGCATTTATTTTTCCTAATCCAATCTTCTCTCACAAGTTTAAAACAAATATTAGTAGAATTTGGATATCATACATCATTTGTGAATTATATAATGGTTCTGATTCCATTGCCATCATAACTCGTTTAATTTTTGCAAATCAAATGGTGTATTTTCAGGATTTTATTGCAGATTACAACTGTGAAAAAGGGCGCGGTTTTATGGAGCACTACTTTATATAAGAAGCTAGAAAACCCTTTATTTTTTTTATTTGTACGAAGTACTCTAGGTAAATTAATTTAAACCTAGCGAAAAACTTGTTTCTTTTATATTTCAATTATAATTTTTAAGATGAAATTTTTTAATCCTTGAAGCAGTTTTTCCTATTTTATTTTGCTACCCCCTTTTTACCTTTGTAGATGTTGAGTTCCATTTCATCAGTTGAAATTATGGTCTAGTGATTCAGTTTCTCTAGCATAGGACATAGGTCCCTCAAATGCTTTTGTAATGCTTGATGAACATTCTAAATCTAACCTTGTCTGAGAATCCAGTCTAGAACCATGCAACCAAAAACATCTAACTATAGAGTAAAAAACTAAGTAATATGCGAATTTAACTTTCGACTGTTTTTCTTGTGAAATTTTCTTCTCATGATAATTCCATGTTATAGTTAGTAAACGTGTTGTAGCAAATTATTTTCCTTTTAAGAAAATTATTCCAAAGCATTGTAGAACACAACTCTTAATTGTGAATGGATTTCATTATTCTTTTTACTCCTTTTAAGGATTTATAGAACAATATGACTAAGAAGAGTAACAAAGCTCATTACCAGCAATGTGAATTCACTGAATTTTTTGGCCTATTATCTCACCAACTATTAAAGATAGGGATATGAAATTTCAACAGTTAATTAATTATCATTTGTTACACGACTAACTCATGACTTATAAGTTCTCATAAGTTCGTGACTCATAAGTTTGAATACTTTTCTTGCAATTTTATTTCTCTTCTTGAATATCTCTCAAACATTTGGAAATTATTGGGTTCGACAATGACATGACAATTTTGGGAACTTAAAGTGCCAAAATGTTTTGAAAAAGGCAAAAATTAAATTTTCATTAACATTGTGTATTTTTACATGCTTTTATGGAAATCTAAGTTTAGGCATGTTACTATTATAATAAAATCTTTAGAATCATTACATTATCTTTGGTGATGTTGGATATAATTTGTTTGTATATTGGAAGAGAGACAAAAGAAGTGAGAAGGGGCTAGTATGTATGAGATGACGCAATTCATGTTTATTATGATCCCTTGTTGTTTGCAGTGCATTGTCTGTAGCAGCTGCGCATGGCCAAAGAACCATCCTCCACAAACTTCTTTCTCATCCTTTGAATACAAATAACAAAGAGGTCCTATCACTGGAAGAGATTTTGGCAGAAGGTGCCAGTCAGCTGACTGCTGATCGGAGAGGTGGTAGGATGCAGATGAGTTCCTGTTCAAATGTTGGGAGTAATGACAGTGGTGGATGTTCTGTCAATCTGCTGAGCAGTGACAGTTCACAGCTCCTCAAGCTGAGCAAGACTCAAATTAAGTCACTACAGGAGGCTATGTATCACAGTGCTGAAAATAACTATTTAGGTGAGAAAAGCTATGACATATTTACAAATGTAATTGTAGTCTTGAAGGAAAATTTGTAAACCAGGAACAGTATTCTTGTAGTTTAAGTATATCATAAATGACTCTATTTTTAGTACATATTTTATTGTCTAATGTGAGCCTGTATCAGATATGACATTGGATTTACGCAACCTGGGAGTGCCTTGGACACTGCATTGTTGGATGCACACACTGGGAACAGCACATGAGCAGAGACTGGATAACATTATCGACCAGCTTCTGCAAGATTTCCTGCAAGTGTGGCCTGATGACTACTCCACCCAGTTTGTGGATGAATGTCTGCCTCTTTTATTTAACATCTTTCGTTTCAGTAAGGTACTGTTTCCCACAGCACTATTGGGCTCTGTTATTCTTAATAAGCTATATATATAGCATAGTTTCCAGGCAATCATACCTTGAAAAATGTACTAAACTTTTTAGTCATTACATTGGCATAAAGTTTATTACGATTTCTTTCAGCTTATAACAGCACAACCAAATGGCCAGTGAAATGCAACACCTTCACAAGATTATTTTATTCAAGATGTAATTCACAAGTTATTTTCTTGTTTTCTGACAATTATTTTATACTAAAAGGAGCATTTATTCCTTTTCACCAACTAGGTGTTTATTGCCTGATGATTTGTTTGAACAATTTGTCATTTTAAAAGGAATTCTGTAAGACTTGTTTTTTATATTTATTTAAAAACTGTTTATATTACCGTTAGTACCGTTAGTAATTGTTCAGAAATTTGTATGACTGTCAAATACTAATTTATTGTAATTAATTTTACAATACATTGTTGCAATAGAAAAGGTATAATACAAAATTATTATACCTACTGTATTTTGAAAACTTTAAATACCTGTGTATGTATAAAGTCAAAACCTAATGTATTTTGAGTATGTATTTAAATACCTTTTTTCAAAGTATTTTGGCCGAGTAATTTAAATACTAAATGTAAAGTATTTTGCCCAACACTGTAAAAATAGTGTAAATTGTCCAAAGAAAATTGCAAGGATATGTAAGAAGAATGCAGTCATATAGATTTTCTAAACAGCTCCTGATATGTAGGCGACAGGAAGGAGAAATTTAGGTAGGCTAAGAAAAAGATGAAAGGACAAGGAACACTCAGAGTTTGTGAAAGTATTATAGAGACATAATTAACAATTTCAAATGATGTGTTTGAAATCTTTATGAAGGGATGTGAACGCAATTCTGGTGTTTGAAATATGAAAATTGATTCATTTAGACTTATGATGACTTCCTTTAAAGGAATATGTAGGTGCAAGAATGCACAGATTGGCCACCCCTGCTATATCATGTTGCATACAGTTATTGTGTGCTAGTATTGGAAGCTGTGAGGTGGCAGCCCCACTACCAAACTTAACCTGCACAGCGCTCGTAACGTGGCCAGGGGATTCAATAACTACTGGCTCTCTTCACAATGCACAACTGGATGGATCATGGAAATGACTTAAGCATGCCAAGGATAAACGATTCGGTATTACGACTAAAACTAGCTAACTGGAATGTCAGAGGGCTAGGTAATAAAGAAGAAAAACTAGATAACTAAACGAAAAAGGAAACGATATAGCTGTCGTTACAGAAACCCAAAAAAAGCTGAAAGGTACAAAAGATATGAAACATTATACGATGATGTACTGTGAAGTAACTCAAAATGGACGGGCAAGTAATGGGGTAGCGATTATTGTTAACAAGAGGTGGAAAAATAGGATAGTGGAGTATTCCTTTATAAATGAGCGAATTGTCATGTGGAAATTCAAAATAGAGGGGCACTTAATACTTGTAGGCATGTATGCCCCAGAAGAAGGAAGGAAAGAGGACTCACGGATATTTTATGACGATCTTCAAAAACAAATCAGCAAAATACACAAAAATAATCATGTCCTTGTCAGTGGCAACCTAAACTCCAGGGTTGGTAACATTCCGATTCCGGGAGTTGTCGGGGTATTTAGAGAACAGCACTTGAATAAAAACGGAGAAGAACTTAGACAGTTAGCAGCCTTCAATAAGTTGAAAATTGCTAATACCTTTTCAAGGAAAAAAGAAATACACAAGTTCACCTGGAGTGCCAGAGGCCTCAGATCACTGATAGATTATGTAATCCCAAATGATGAAATTAGTAACCAAATAGACAATGTACAAGTACATCGAGGATGTGATATATACTCAGACCACTACCTAGTGATTGCAACGATAGTAATGGTAGCAAAATGGAAGAAAATTAGACCAAGGAAAGAGACAAGTCAGGAAATTTTCAAAGTGTACTTACTTGAACAAGAAAGCATAAAAAGACTATATCGAAATCGATTACAACAATTTCTGTCAAGTGTTCCAACTGTTGATGATGTGGATAAGGAATGGCAGAATATAAAGGAATGCATAGAGAGGGCAGCATATGAAACTTTAGGAAAGAAAAAATAGCATAAGAAAAGAAAGGGACCGAGAGTATGGAACGATTGTATAGCGAAAGCCATAAAAGATAAATATTTCTTCAAAACAAAATCCAAGTAGCTAAAGAAGAATATAAACAAAAAAGGAATAACGCTAAATAAATAATAAGATCTGCACATAACGACTCATGGGATAGATTTATAAGTACCATCAAACATGATATTCATGGAAGACAAATGTTCACATACAAAGCGTTAAGACACTTAAATCAGACGGAGAAAGATGTTGCAGATATACTTATAATCAATGAAGAACAATGGAAGGAACTACATAAACCTTTGGTGTACTGGAACTGTTAAACCTAAAGAGGAAGAGCTTCGCTACAACAATACTGTGGATTCCATCCCCTTGGATGATTTAAAGCAAGCCTTGAACAGTCTAAAAAACAGGAAGGCATGTGATCCTGATGGAGTTAACGTTGAACTCATAAAATATGCAGGCCCCCTAAGCGAATTTAGACTGCTTCATCTGTTTAACGAATGCTGGAAATCTTATAAGACACCCAATAGCTGGAAAATAACTGAGGTCATATCTATCTTTAAAAAAGGTAAAAGAAATGAATGTAGAAACTACAGGGGTATCAGCCTCATAAACGCTGCTTATAAAGTATTTGCAAAAATTATCAACGCTCGATTGAAAATCATAGCAGAGGCTAAATTACAAGAAGAACAATCGGGATTTCGGAAAGGATGCTCTTGTAACGACAACATTTTTAGTCTTAAAAGAATATTAGAAAAACAACGAGAAGTAAATAAGGAAACCCATATAGCCTTTATTGACTTCGAGAAAGCTTTTGATACGGTGGACAGTCACAAACTATGGAAAATAACAAATGAAAGTGGTTATCCTGAACACCTTATAAAAACCATCAAAAATATGTATAAAGAGAAAAAAATTATAATAAATACTGGCATAAAGAAGACTGAAGAAATATTAATAAATAGGGGACTAAAACAAGGATATAGTTTATCTCCAACACTATTCAATATATATGTTGATGACCTTATTAAAAAATGGAGATGCATAGCTAGTTCTGGAATACAGTTGAAGCAGAATAAACACCTAAATACTCTACTTTATGTAGATGACATAACAATACTGCAAGAAAGTGAAGATGATCTGCAAAAAGCTGTATACACATTGTATCAACTGGGAAGAATGAGTATAATCTCTGAATATCTAAAAAGAAGACTAAAGTTATGGCCACAATAAATATCCGATACGCTCAAAAATAGTTATTGACAACACAGTGATCGACCAGACTTCAAATTTTAATTACCTTGGTTGTGACATTAGTTATGACACAGATAAAGACATAGAAAATAAAACTAATAAATTTCAATCAATATGTGGAATAATAAACAGAACACTACAGAACAAAGCAAGGAAAGACACAAAAATGAAGTTCTGTAAGACAATTGCTGCTCCAGTTCTCCTGTATAGAAGTGAATCGTGGATAATGAAAAAAAAGAGACCAAATTAAACTCCAGCAGCAGAAATGAGGATATCCGTAAAGAACTAGATATATACAACATAAATGAAAGGATCTTAGAAAAAAGGAAAGTATGGCGGTGCCATATCGAAAGAATGGAGGAAGATTGTATTCCACAAGTAGTGATGAACTACCAACCAAAGGGAAGAAGAGATATCGGCTGACCCAGAAGGAGATGGTCCTGAAGTGCAAAGTGAAGACAGAACAGGCATTCCTGCCTAATCCTTGAAATGGAGAAGAAGATACAGTTATTTGAAATTACCAATAGCAATATTTTTATAGCATGATCCACCATTTGTATTTATTTATTTATTTTTAATTGAGAATTTTATTTTTAAAAGTATTGATGTGCGCATACATCTGACCACATGTCCTCACCAGAACAGTCCTTACCCTGCAAGACATCCTTTGGCATCCCTTATCCCTTCAGGGATAACAGTAATCTATCGGCGAATACTGTTACGATCTTCACTTAACCCTAAACCTTTCTTAAAGCTACTAATTACAGGTAAACGTCACTTTCACATCCCTAAATCCTCTCAATGCCATTTGCAAATATCATTTAAATTTCATAAGCTATAACACATGCCAAAATCTTCTTCAGTACAATTTATACATATGTGTAGAAATGACATGTGTGAAAAACATAAAATACTAAACATAACAGAGTTTGACTTGTGTATATTTTCAGAATGAGGGCACCACTTTGCTTCTGGCTGACATATTTTCTACCTGTTTTGGTTGGGAGGCCATCAAATCAATTCGTGATACTTCATTTTCTGGTGGAACAAGAATAGATCCAAAATTTGTGAACAATCCTGAATTGAGTGATGTTCAATTCAGAGTTGAGGGTAGAGTTTTTTATGGCCACAAAATAGTACTTGTTACCTGGTCTCCTCGATTTCGAGCCATGCTTAGTTCCAAATTGTGTGATGGCAGTCCACCCGTGGTGCACATCAATGACATAAGATATCACATCTTTCAGGTACGTCAAGGTTTGTAATTCTAAACTAGTGGAGATACCAAACATCAGTAATAAACAATATTAATCTGAAAAATGTTGTGAATTGCTTCAATATGTTTGAGAGGAAAGAATGTTACTTGAGAAAACTTATCCAACGTATGATACCTTGATAGTGACTTGATAGAGATAATTTTGCTCCATTATGTGACAGTTTTGTGTTTCATTATTGATCAAACAATTTTTAGATTTATTATTCATTGAAGCTCAATTTGATGCGTGAATTCTAAATCGTTTACACTATACAATACACAGTTATCTTGGCTACATATATTTTGTGTATCAGTTTATCAACATTACCCATAAAAAATAGTGGTTTTCATAATTATTCAAAGTGCTCCACTTTGTGGAGAACTAAGAAAAGTCAATTTGGACATTAATCTGGAAAAACAAGGAAAAATACAGAGAATTTTTAGAAGGCTCTTAGTTGTCTGGGAAATGTTTAAGAGAAATATAAAATTTGATAATCATTTGCAAAATACAGTAAAATACAGACTCTCTTTCAGTATTTTTGTCACGAATTTAAATTGTTAAGCAAATTTCATTAATTGATTTTTGCATAGTGAAATCAGTGAGCTGACAAATCAGCTATAAGTATTCAAGTCTTGTTTTTATTTAATATTGCACTGAAAAATCAGAAACTTCAGAGAAATTTGTGTTCCAGGAAAAGAGAGGTCGCCCTGATATTAACACATAACTAGAGTTATTCTCTCATAATTTCAAAGAGAAAATTTTACTTACAATACAAACGTTTGTGTCAGTTGTCAAAATAAATTTTTATTTGGAGAATGTTCCTTGGCCACTTCATTTGTTTTAATTGTCCAAGTAGATGAAAAAGAAAAAGAATAAAAAAAACAGTTTAGAGTGCCTTTTCATTATTCTTTACGAATATGTTATTTCCTTTTCTTCTCCTATTGTACTTACAATTGTTGTTTCCTTTACAAATTTGCAAGATATTCCAATATTATGTTTTGCTTATATTACTGAAATTTTGAAGTTGTGTACGATACCAAAGGAAAGATTCATATCTAAAGGTTTGGAAACCCGTTGAAAATATTTTGTTTTTTGAATATGTTCAATGGCAATCACCTAAATTTACAAGAAATAACTATACTTTTTAATTGGTATCATAAATAATTTGATAATTTTTATCAACTCTAAAATATCAGATTGAATAAATTTAACATTACTAAGCAATGTGCAGGCTTATTAAAAGAAAGTGAGTATGAGTGCAAATCTAAGACTGATGACATGGTTGATCAGTAGAACTTTCTTCCTTTAAACATATACACAGATTTTTAAACTATGAAAAGTTCTTCTCACTTTTGCCTTTCTTGTTTGATATATTTTGTATTTCCCATCAGGTAATTTTCTCGTACATTTTTCAGAACACTTGTCACAGCGCCAGAAAGGATGTAAGTGTAGGGCGCATACTCAAAGAGCTTTGGTGGAATGCAGAGGTGACATAGCAATTGCAGAGATGAGACAAGCAGTTCCATGTGTATTGTTTTAATACCTTATGACATGCACTGCATTGCACTCCACTTTCCCTTATATTCCACACAGCTCCTGTATAACTACAACTTTGCAAGGAATGCGACTGTCCTCCACGGGTCAGTGGTGCTCAATGTTGGTCTATTGTCACCCTTTACAGCATTTTCTGGAAAATATGATAGCAGTTTCATTGCAACATCAATGATCTTTGCTGAATGAGGCCATGAACACTCATGGCTTTGCCATGGGTTGTTTGTGTTGTTACAAAAGCATCAATAATGATTTTATGGGCACAAAAAGCATTTTATGGGCAAGGGGGTTAAAAGTTTCACCACTGATGGGGTGAGCTCTTGGTCCAGTGAAATACTTTGTGACTGGAGCAGATGTCACATGTGGACAAGACTCTCCAGTGAGTTGCAATATGTTACAAAAGAATCAAAGTTCTCTGGTCATCATATCAATATCTATGTATGGAAATTTAGAGTTGTACATTCATTTTTAGTGCAAATACAGGTCGGCTAGAATGAGAGTAGGGCGTCTAATGCAATTTAAGTAAGGATAGGCCTTTTTTGTTTATTGTAACGATATTCAACAAAAGTTAGTAAAAAAATAAAAAAATGATATTAAGCTGAATAGCAGAAGTTGGAAAGCAGCTGGGTTGAATCCCTACAACAATAAAAATCTTGTTGACAGCCTGGCTGAATAACAAAGCACACAGCACAAGTCTTTACCCTCCAAAGAGGAGCGCACATTGGATGCAGCAGTATTTCAACCCAGGAGAAAGCCTTTATGCCTGGCTTCAGTAGCAGATAGCCTGCTTAGTGTGCTCCTCTGGTAACCCTTCATCTCCATACTGCATCTCAAAGCAGATAGGAAGGTCCCTTAACATATAGGTGCAGATACCTGTGAATAGACATGACAAGGGACATGACTTAAGATGACATTGCTCATAGAAGAATTCATAAATGCACTTACTTCTGCAATGGATGTACACAAGCCATGAAATCAAACACAACTAATCATCAGTCCTGTCCTTATTGCAATGAATTTATTGTTATTGTGATTTTCTTATGTTTTTTTTAATATTAAAAGAAAAATGAAATACTACTACTTTTGTTTAGCTGGTGATGCAGTATTTGTACAATGGTGGCTGTGAGAACCTTAAAGTGGAACAGTCAGATGTACTGGAGCTGATGGCAGCTGCAAACTTTTTCCAGCTGGATGGTCTATTGAGGTTCTGTGAGGCCCAATGTTCCAGCATGGTTGACCTTGATAACATTGTATCAATGTATATTCACGCAAAGGTAAGTGGTGTACAACAGATTTCATTGTATAATGTGATAGCATCACAAATGCAATTCTTTTGAGCATTTTGTAAACATGATTAAATAGATAATTCTGTATTAAGAGAGAGAAAGCATGGGTGTACATGTGTGTGTGTTGTTTGTGTGTGTGTGTGTGGGGGGGGGTGTTGTGTTTATGAGGGTAGATGGAAATTTTCAAAAGAAAGAGATGATGAAATGAAAGTGTGAAACTTTTACTCACTAAAACCTAACCTCCCATCTCCTCTGTCTTCCCGAATACCTGTGGGGATTACAGAATGGACAGTGGAATAGTGACTCAGTTGCATGACATATCTATTTTATCTTGGTAATAGTGCAATGGAATCCGATTTCCCTCGTTTCTTTTTCAAGTCATCTTGACTCTACCAGTACTACTTGTGAAAAATCACACACTGCCCTCCAACTGCTTTCAGAGGCAAACATGAATGCAACTGTGTTTTCTGGAGTCATTTAGTCAATCACAAATATCTTAATGATGATCTGTCACTGAAGATTGAAATGTGGGCATAACACATGTTCATATCCATGACCCATCAGAAATTGTATGAGATAATAATTGGCCCTGCCATTCTTCCTTCAATCCTTGATTCAACTGTAGGAATCCTGCGGTAGGTCCACCTTGCTTTGGAGGAAGTACCCCATTGCTGTAGCTGTACTGCTTCATTTTCCAAGCCAGTTTGCATCCTGTTTCCTAGTGGTCCAAGTGGTCTCCAAAGGACAAGCAAGTGCTGAACATGATGCTAAGGTATTTTATTGAAGGTCGTGATGAGATTTGATGATGACTGACTTTAAGAGTGATGTTTTTCTCTTCCTGTTAGTTGTGAACATCAGTTCTGTCTTATGTTCAGCAAGCTGTAATTCTGCATTGTCAATGGCTTTATTACAGATACATACTTCTCTAAAAAAAATTGTGATACAACGATGGCAATGTTGTTTGGGAAGCTTATAACCTTGGTTCCTTCTGGGAGTAGGAGTCTAAGGACCTCATCGAACATAATTGTACATTGGACCTAGCATAGAACTTTGTGGAATGCTGATGGTTTGTGTTGATGGATTGTGTACCTTTGGTCCATCATCCGTATTGTGTACTAGAATTCTGCGATTGAATTATTCAACCACTATCCTTCTGAAGTATGTAGGCACATTTATTCATTGGAATGTCTAATGAATGTTTCTTTTCCTTGCTAAGTTAAAGGCATTTTTAATGTTCAATGCTATCCCTTCACAGCACTTTTTTGAATCTCTATTTTCATCACTCCGGACATGAATTGGAGTGAGAGAGAGAGAGAGAGTGAGAGAGAGAGAGTGTGTCTGTGTGTGTGTGTGTGTGGGAGGCAGAGAGAGTCTGTGTGTGTATGTGTGTGTGGGAGGGAGAGAGAGTCTGTGTGTGCAGGAGTGTGTGTGGGAGAGTGTTGTTTTTGTTACGGGGTAGGGGAGAATCTTCTAAAGACACTGCGGGGCCCGCACTCGCAGCTTGTGGGATTCATAGCTAGCCTATGCCTAACCACTAAAACCCCCTCCCTTTCCTCCTATTCCTACCCGCGGAACCGCCGTCAGGCATTGCATCGCGAGAAGGAGGAATGGGCTTTTCTCACTTCACCAACATATTACGGGACACTTCGTAATTGTACCTCGGAGCGGAGCGTCTTCAGGACCTTTGCGGCATAGGTGGCTACCGCACTCCAATACTCTTGTGTCATCAGCATCCTAGTGACGATGGTCTCGGGGGTCACTACCTCTTGAAGGAGTCTGTGGAGTTCCTCCCTTTCCACTACGAAGCGTGGACAAAGAAAGAACACGTGTTCTGCATCCTCAATCACCAGGAAACACGGTGGGCATGAGCTATCGTCCAACCGGAATCGGAGCTGATACTCTCGGTAACATCCATGCCCTGTCAGCAACTGCGGTAGATAAAAATAATTCTCCATGTTCCCTTTGGATCCACGTCATGATGTCTGGAATGATCCGAGATGTCCTCGCCCAGTTGATGATCGTCGTTGTCACTGATCCATTGTCACCCCCTCTCTTCTTTCGTGATGGTATTCCAGTTTGAAGCCCCATCCTGCTTGCGCAAGTAGAGCTATCCTGCGCAATGAGGTCGATAGGAGGCACATCTGCTAACACACACACAGCATCATAGGATACAGTGCGAAACGCTCGAGCAACCCGCAAGGTGGATATTCTGTGTACCGACTTAGCCCCGCGGGCATATGACTGAATGCCCAAATGGCATTAGCCCAAATGGGGGCTGCATAGAGAAGAATGGAATTTACTACGCTAGTCAGCAGCTTCTTTAACTAGGACCCCCTACATTAGGTATAATGCGTGCCAATGCCGATGCTATAAGAGACGCTTTCTCGGAGACTGCAGGTGCTCGTCGAAGCGCAGTCTCGCGTCAATATGCACTCCTAAATATCTCAGAGACAGCTGCGAGGATATTTTGCAGCCTCCTACATTAAGAGTAATTCTCTCTCACACTTTTCTGCCCGTCACCAGCTCAGCCTCCGTTTTATGCTCGGCCATCTGTAGTCCTACCAACGTAAGCCACCGCCGGATCTCCGCCACAGCCTCGTTGGCAACCGGCGTGACTTCTTCGGGGTATTTGCCTACTACTACAATTGCAACATCGTCAGCGAATCCTACAGTTCTTGCGCCTTCCGGCAACTCGAGCTTCAACACGGCGTCATACATAATGTTCCACAACATCGGACCAAGTACCGAGCCTTGTGGGACACCGCGTGTGACCTTATAAGAATTTACTCCAGTCCCAGTTTCATATAGGAGGATCCTCTCGTTAAAGTAAATCTTGACCAAGTTCGAGGAACAAATTCTTGGAACTCCAAGAATTTGTAACGCAGAAAGAATGGAGCTCCACCTTCCAGTATTAAAGGCGTTTTTGACGTCGAGGGTCACTATAGCACAATACTTCATAGGACCTCCTTTCCATCGTTTGCCTTCAATGGCCTTACGTGCAATGTCGACTGCACAATTTTGAAATTAGAGATTCAAAGAAAATTTATTTGGAATATTTGTATAATTTAATGAACATTTAATTATTTTGTAAATATTAGTGATACTTTATATGTGAATATTTAAAAAGAAATCACATCTGTAATTTTTGAATACTCAAAAGTTTTTATCAAAATGACCCTGGTTTCATGTGATTTAGTGCATTAGACTCTATTGATAAAAAAACTTAAAAGAAACATTTTGTGGTCATTTTTGAGAAAATATTGTTTGCGTATGTTTTGAAAATTGGCTCCTATTTGTCACAAAATTATGTGCAAACTACCGATATTTTCAGAACAAATGATTCAGAATTCATGACATTAATTTAAGATCTATTGTCAAGAAAATAGTTTATTTAGAAAAGAATCTCTCTCTTCAGTAATGCAGTTAAATGAGGAGTTTCACAGGTTTTTTAACTTTTGCAATTTTTGGAAATTCAAATGTGTTAATTGAGAGACGAAAATTGGAACTAAGCCATTTCTGTAAGTTGACTTTGCACTATTCCTGCATAAGAACTAATCTGATGTTTCAGACAATGCGAGTCTATCGAGTAGGGGGATTGTTCCGTTAAAAAATGGCACGAATCCACTTTTGGCAAAAAGGTTATTGTTTGAACAGACTGATCAACACACTGGTTGTTAAGACACATTTCAGTTGCTGTTTTGGCACTCAAAACTTACAAATAAGCATGAAAAAACTCATTTTACAATTAAAACTTGAAAGCGGAGAAAAATAGTAGTTGTATGTAAAAATAACAGGTCATTTAAACAATAGTTTTAAGAGAACAGTATATAATGAATTTATAATCTTCTAGAGCAAATGTTTAAAAGACAAATGCATAACATTGTAATAATTATTTTGGAAATATTATTTATAATTCTTTCATTTTTTTTAATTGCATATTTTACTTATTCTGAAATTTTTTGTTGGAAAATTTAATTTTTATTGTAAAAATAAAACAATGATTATTATTCCTGAGAGCATTCATATATTAAAAAATAAAACATATCATTCTTCCCTTAATTAAATCAAAACATTTAAAATTGAGAAGAAAACACTATTTTACCCTCTCTAACACTTTGGCCATTTTGGCTCATTTTAAGTGCTTTTATTCACAGTTTTATTGCAAATAAGGGAAATTCCTCCATTCATTTGTGTGAAAAGCTGCTTTTGGTAATTTAAATTTTGGCATCTTCACAGGATTGGGCTACAAGTTCTTACAGAGCCTGTTAGGTACTTTACTAGATGCACAACTCTTTAACACAGTTAACACAATCTGCGAGTTTGTTATTGATAGGCAACTATTGGGAATAGTAAAACTGAAAATGATTTTAACATTTATTTTTAGCCAAGATTAGATGGTGATATAAATATTTTTTCTTGACTTGAACATACATAATATATTATTTTAGAAACATATCAGTAGAGTGGTAGTTCACATTGTCTGCTCCAAATCCCTGAAAAAAGTAACTGAAAAAGAGTATTCATATCATCCATTATTTCACCCAAAAGTTTCAAAATATCCCATGGCAAGGTGATGTTATGGTGCTTCTAAGAAGTTGTGACAATTCGTTATCCCCTTTGCACGCATTGAAAAGTAATGATGCTGCATCATTTCAGAACAGATATAAAGTTTTGAATGTTTCCACGTCTCTAAAATCAATAGTTATTTTTCTCAAGAAACCCAATTACAATTCAGTTTTGTAACTAAGTATTGAATGTGATCAGTACACTTATTAACAAATATGATGTGATCTGTGTTTACTTTTTAACAAATATTACTCTAAGATCGATAATGTTTGAAACAAATACAACAGCATTGTTATAAGTAGAGTATGAGAATGTAAGAGGATTCCCTAACCTAGAAAAATCTTATATTTTATAAAAGCTGATTTGGAGAATCGAACCATTTCTTATACAGAATACAAATACACCATTCATGCATTCAGATTGCTTTGCACTACCAAACAACTATCAAGAGATTTTTGTTTCTGAAGTCAGTTTAACTCATCTTCAATTAATAAACAAAAGCAGCATGTAAGAACAAATTTTGATGTTAATAAAATTAGAAAAAAAAACAGTGAATAAAAAGAAGGAACCTTGTTAGACTCCATTATGAACAGGTTGGAAATAAATTATTTGGAAATTTGGGAATTTGGAAATAAATTATTTGTATTTAACATTATGTTTCCTACCCTTTAATTAATTTTACATTCATTAAAACAAGGTCATGTTGATTCCAATAGGCAACACAAATAATAATTATAATACTAATAGTAATAATAATAAATTTAAAAAATAAATATAAAAATACGTATTTATTAGCTTAATATGGCTCCCCCAATGGATATTTTCAGGTTAGGAAATTTAATTTGTGCTGTGCATGTTTGTAATAAAAAGAAATTTTAACAGAATGCTGTTGGGGCATTGGGCAACTTGTTGGGCATAAAAAGTTACATGAAAATGTATGAATATAAATTATTTTTTTAATTGTGTTTCATTACATATTGAAGGTTAATTAGATTAATTCTGATGAAACAGTTCATAATGATTCAGCAGGAAAGGTAGTATGGTAAGTCATCCACTACTATGAGAGCCTTGAATGAGTATTTAGTTGTCATTAGAAGATGATTTAATGAAGCTTGTTTGTGTGGTTCTTAATCTATGAATTTTCTGGTAGCGAAAGGCCTAGAGTTGAGGTTCTGGACTATTGCCTAAAGTGATTTGGTGATGTTTCTTCTTTGCAACTTATCAGCAGTTGTTCCACCAAAACAAAAATTAAATTTTAATGGTGAAAAGAAGAAGAGGAAGAAGATGTAACCAAGATATAATGGCTAATAATGAGATCATTATTTCACATTAAGCACATTGGGTCATTATATTTGTGCAATGGGAAGTATGTCTTATGGCGAATTCTGTCTCGTAAGCATTGCTGAACTTTCAAGATAGAACTAGCCCATCTCCAAAATACTTGAACTACCAGGCAGTCAATCAGGTGTATTATCCAGAGAGAGTTCCACCTATATGTAATACAAAGATTCAGAAGTTGCTTTTTTTTCTGGAGTGTAATGGTGAACCTGTTTTGTCTCTGCTGTCAGCAATCCCAGCACTCATTTGGGCCAAGCTTTCTTCATGCTCAATCCATGATGCATGAATAAAATGCACTCAGTCAGAGATACCTGTGGACTCTGCTAACTCATGCACTTTCACGCGCATGTCAGCCCAAACAATAGTCAGCCCAATAGTCAGCCCAATAGTCAGCCCAATATCATAGATTATGTTGATGTTTTCAGGTGTCACAACTCTTTTGAGAGCCCCAGGTCATGGTGCGTCTTCAATGCTTCCTTAAATGTCTTGACCCAAAGTCTCAGCTTCAAAGGAGGGGCATGAGTCCCCCAATGTTGGTGCTATCCTCCCATGGATTTTTTGTTTTTGTTTTTACCTACCATAAAAAATAATTAGTAGCACCAAGAATTCCATTTCTATCCACTCTGGCTCACAAACGCTTGTGATCAAGTTGTTGTCCAACAATGAGCTAGTGTGCTAGGGTGACTTACAACAATTAAATTTTATTCTACACTGTTGAAGCTTTAAATTCAAATAAACAGATGTCACTGTCCTCATCTCATAGTATGTGATCCAAGTTACTTATCGAAGGACCTCCGTAAATACTTTATTATTATATGCATTATTATATTATATTGTATTATAGTATATTGTATTATATTATATTATAGTATATTATAGTATATTATATTACTAGTGGAACCTGGCAAACATTGTTTTATCCTTCATCTCCCTCTTCTTCTTCCCTTTCCCTTTCTCTCTGTCCCTGTCTCAGTTCGTCTGACTCTGTGTCTCTGTCTGTTTCCGTTTATCAGTCACTGAACTTCCCTTCCTCTGCCTTGCCCTGTGTCACACAGTAATACTCTGCAACAATTTAGTCCAGGTGGAGCAAAGTTTGAATGGAAATTGTATTAAAATGATGCACAATTTTATTCTGTAGCATCATCTTATGGAGGTACAACAAAATAAACTGCACATAAATTGCAGGGTGAAAAAACATGTAAATGTGTCAACTTTCATGAAGATCATTAACATGGTATTGGAGTTTACTGCTCTTTTATATACCAACATCCATTTTTATGTATAGATTATTCTGATACTGTACATTCTGCTAATCAATATTGTCAGAATGATGATGATGACGTGGTTGAATATTTGTTAGTGAAAAATGTAAATATTTTGTTAGATATTAACGAACTATTATGAACTGTGATAATGATTATTATTATAATGGGTAACTGTAATGAAAAAAATTAATTGCAGACTTTAAATCCTCAAATAATCATGGCATTTCTATGATCAAAATGTTCACTAAAAAGAACATGACCTAGAAATGTGGCCTTAAAAATTTCTAATAAAATGGTATGCAGCATCAGTGTATGTTCCCAACATTTATTGAATGTTCAAAGTTAATTTCATTTGCTATTAATTTTTGGTATTTATTTAAAATTGTAATTAATGTACAAAAACAGTTCATAATTATTTTATTAGTTCTGTTTGTGTTAACTTCCTTTGTAAAATACTACATAGTACTATGTTATTATTTACATATAATAGGTAGTAGTGTAGGAAAATTAGTATGAAAAATTCTTACTCTAGAAAATTTAAGAAATTTCAGTTATGTTATTCATAAAAGTATTTTTGAAGTGCTTGGCATAGTAACAGGATTAACAGGATACCCAGCCACAGATAACCTCTCTATATTTGTAAATGTTACAATCTCGTTTTTTGGTGAAAATGTGGCTTATCTTATGTCTTCTCAAATTTATGAAGATCTTGGGGCACTAACACTAAAAGATAATCTTTGTAAAACTTGAGATTGGTATAAACATTTATGAACAGCAGAGTGCTTATGGTGTATGTGGCTATTTGTCTTTAAAATCTTGTTACATGTGTATTTCATTGTAAATCATCTTTATAATTTGTAAGTAGAAAAATGTAACATTTGCTTTCCAAATCACATTTCCTTTTACCATACAGTAAAAAGAAATGTGACATGGAAGAGAAATGTTAAGTTTTTTAGTTCATTATGCATGTCTAGTCCATAATGATGTGAAATTAAAATAATAAAGTCATTAGTTTTATTAACTTTTTATAATTCATTAAATTTTGTTTAGTTTTTCTAATGCAGTAATTAAATGATGTGTACTGAAGAATTTAGTAGAGACCTTGAAATATATTAACTATTATAAGGAAAGAAGTATGCATGGAAAAATGCTCATTAAGAGATTTACCTAGATCATTGCAAATCCAGGAGATACTGAAATTGTTTCATACTCTACTTATGTGCATCCTTTAGGTATACAATGCCAGTGAACTACTTGAGTACTGCCAAGGCTTCTTGCTACAAAACATGGTGGCTCTTCTTACTTATGATGATTCGGTGAAGAGATTACTCTTTGGCAAGAAGTTGCACAATCACGATGTGCTAGCTGGTTTGCTGTTAACGCTTCAAGCCAGAATCAAAGTTCGCAACATGGCATCAAATGCCCAACGCTCAGGAAAGCCTAAGTGAAGGTAGGAAAACTTAATAAGATGAAATACATTTTTTTTTAAATGTATAAAATAATATAATAAAGATATGATAAAATAATATAGTAAAAATGTGATTGAAGTTTAATTATTAAACCAAAATGTAATAGTAAACAGTCTAATTTGCCTTTTGAAGTACTTGAAACAAAATAACCTTCAAAAAATATAATGTGGAAATAACAATACTATTAATTATTCTTCTTGTGATCTGTTCTTGTAACTGTGCTTTGTGTCAATCAATACTGGAATATATGATTTGTCATTACAAATCCAAGTAGTCTAATAATATGTTTTCTTGTTACTTATGCTGCAAATAGTGAAAAATACTGAGAATAACTTAGAGGTGTCTATTTTTCTGAAGATTCCTAAAAGATAACAAAACTAGTGATGCTACTTTCTCCCCCTTATTTTCATGCAAAATTACACGAAAAGTAATCAAATTTTGGAATGGTTGTAAATGATCTTATTTCAAAATGTATCTTTAAGGAACAGATTGCATTGCAAGTAAAATCTTAATATTTAATCTTTTAGTTACAGGAAGACTCAAAAACAAAATTTAACTTTCACAATTTAAAAAAAGGTGGGGGGCAGAGTTTTCAACGATTATGATACCTGTTCCATTCTCTTAAACATCCTTTACACTATCCAACAACAAAATTTAATCAAAATCAATGCAGCCATTTTTTTGGAAATTTGAAATATGTGTGAGGGACTTCATGTAAAGTACCTTAAAATATTGAAATATCGGTTACAAATTCAAGGGACCGCAACATCAGCTAGATCAATTGCGGAATATCAATTTGGAGAAAATTGACTGAACGGTTTAGCCACTGGTGTTGTTTACAGACAGACAGATATACGTTTTGTCTTCATTTCATTTTTTTAGTATCAAAGACCCAAAATCCCATGGTCTGGGTACACCATGCGAGAGAGGATTTTTTTTCTAAATTTAGCAACTGGATTTATGTACTTTTTACAGTGCTCTACAATAAGAGTTTTTCTGCTGAAAATTCACAGGGTTGTTGTTGGTGGGTTTTCCTTTTACCTTTTACAGTAAACAAAAGCACTAGATTATTAGCAATTGTTCAATCAAGTTGAGTTATAGTACTGTACATGTATTAGTATACTGTTAGTACAGTACATATTGGTTATACAGATTAGAAACAAACTAATGATAGTTTAACATGTTTACTAGTTGACAGTTTATAATATTATGTTTAATAATAAATAGGCCTATAATTGTAGGACAAATGCCTATTTAGTTCCTTCAGGAGATTGTGGAAAATAACGGTAGATGTTTACGAATCATGAAAAAATAGATCTACTGAAAGCATCTAATAGTGCCTAAAATGTCCTAAAACGGCAGTTGATGCCTATTTTAACATATTTTTGCCTAAAACAAGTAATTTTCAAGAATTATCGTATTTTAATTAGTACTATTTTAAATTTTATATTTTTTTAAGAAAACACAAAACATAAGGAGCTATGCAAGTGAATATAAAGAGGATGTTTCATGTGTGTCTCTGATCTGCGCACACTTAGGCAATTGCACTGATTCCCAGAGTAACTGTACAGTTGACAAGTTGAGAATGAAATGTATAAATAAATGAATGAAATTAATTAAAATAAAAGCGAATAAAATAATATGCATGTAGTCACTTTCTTAAATGTAAAAATACTTGACTCTCCTAAATAATAAAAATTACCTAATTTTGTTCTTTTGTGATCAGTGTCAGATGTCAGAAACAACTTTTCATTTATAAAGCCAGGTTTAATAATTTTGTAACCCATTTTAAATGCCTAAAACGTCAATTTTCATGATTTTGTTAGCTATTTTTAGGTGCTTAAGCCATAACTTTTTTTGTGCCTAAAATTTCAAAGTCTAATAATAAAGCAGTTCACATTTCAATAAGTTTTCGAGTTAGTGTTTTTATTAATTAATAGTTCTATGGGCTTTAAGGAAATTTTTCTTGGAGAGATCTAGACTGTAGTAATTTCATCTAAGATTAGTTGTAGATAATTGACTGAAGGGGTCAAGGGTGTTCAGGACATTCCTGAATGATTACATCTGTTCTTTTTGCTTGTTTGCTTAGATATAGAATTGTTCTACATTCATATAGTAATGTCATCTTTACTATTAAAAATGCAGGATTTTATGAAATGCAAAACGTGATCGGGTGTCCTATTAGATATAAATAAGACAATTATTATGAAGTTGTTTCCAACATTTAATTACTTTGCTCTTTAGTGTTAATAGACTTACATTGATCCAAGTCTGGAGGCCGAAGATGAGTTTTTTGTTACACACAACCAACAGAAATTTTGAAGATCTTTTGCATTCTGTGGACAGGTTAAGCAAGTTCAAGCATCACCCTCTGTGGTAATTCATATTTGTTCCAGATATTTTGGTTATTTAAAAAACAGAATTAGCAAGACCCTCTCAAAATAGAAGGAAATTTAATTCATTGAATCTTTTAATTTAGATTCTTCCAGATTTGTTATAGAAATAAAATTATTTTTTAAATTTAATTTGTACTAATGTAATGATATTCAATGCAATGGGATCAGGAACTAAAAATAATTCATTGGCTTTATATCCTCACTTAACTTTCTTAAACTAGTGTGGGAGGGGAGGGAGACAGTAGTGTTCTCAAAATTCAAACCTACCTGTATCTGGTTCACTAGTGTATTCCAAGTGAAGTGAATGAAAAATGATGGTCGGCACATTGCTATAAAGTAAAAATTAGGATATCTGTAACGAAGTAACAAATACTTTATTACTTTACATTTGAAAGTTTTGCTACCTCTTTGACTTTCACAAGCAACAATGGACTTCACGGACATAAAAAAGTGGGTTACAAATTCAGTACACATTCAATGAATAATAGGTTGTAATAGGAAAATTTATCATTTGGCACAGAAATCAAGTTCAGAATTTTAATTTTAATGTACTGTTTTAAAGGTGTATTTTTTTTATTACACACAATTAACTGAGTGAAATTATTATTTCAATATTGAGTCGATCTTTAAGTATTAAAAGTAAGAGATATGACTAATTGAAATGGCAATTGATGATTTCTCAACAGATAATTATTTTTTTAAATTTTCTGTTCATATTCAGCTACAAAAGCAATTTTAATGATTCTGAAATATTTCTCTTCAGGAGATCTCAAACCTTTTCTGCTGGTCGTAGGGAACATTGCAGCCACACCAAAATGTAAGCCTAAACTTGTAAGTTCATTCAGGTGAATGAAAAAAGTATCTTTCCCTTCGTTGTCAACAAAAAGAAAACATAATTTCATGGAAAAAAAACTTATTGTAGAAGGCACAGCTCATGTTACATTTTTCTACATCCTCAGACATTTGTCATACCAAAGGATCAACATTTGTATCCCTGAGTCATAGAAGTCTGCTGGCTGAGATATGTACCGGTTTTTGTCACCCACCTGCAACTATGAGACACTGTGATATGAATAATGCTAAAGGGACAAGAATTTCTTAAAGTGTCAAAAAAGATGGCAATCACTAGGAGCAAGATCCGGACTGTAGGGTGGATGGTCAAACACCTCCCAGTGGAACTATACTAGAAGGCACGAGTTAAGCTGTGTGTGAGCAAGCATTATCATTCAGGAAGACAATACTTGCACTGAGCATCCCGCATTGCTTTAAGTGTCATTATCACAGTGATCAGAGTTCCCATCAATTACTGTCAAAGGTACCTATGCAGGTGCCAGACTACAATAGCTCATGGATAAATGTTAATCCCAAAGTATAACAAATGCCCCAATTCTGGTTGTGATTACATGGAAAATGGTGTAACATGTGCTGTATGTTAGAATAAAGTTTTTGTACTAAATTGTATTTATTTTAATAAACATCCTAGGGAAACTTATTTTTTTGTCATACCTCAAATACAGACAGTATTTTGTAATGAAAAAGATTAGTTTGGAAAATTGGGATTTATTTCAATTTGTCATTATTCCTTGGTTAGAGTATATCAATAGTTAATTGTGCTTGGTCAAAATGCTTTCTCACGAGCCTTAAATGCTCTTCATAAGTATAGTACATCATTTAGATTACATTAGAAATTGTTCATTAAAATATATTTGAACTACAATTTGCATTTTAAAATGTTGCAATTCTCTCTCTCTCTCTCTCTCTTTTTCTTTCAGATCAAAATTACAAACAAATTTTTGTTGATAATCAAGATTGAATGTTGAGTAAAAAGTCAGGACTATTAGACCATTGAATCTCATTCAGGGAGAATTGAGGAACAAAAATTGTCAATCAGTAGTATTTTAACAACAAAAATAATAAATGTAATGTGGTTAAGTAGAGGTGCTGTGTGGAAAAAGGAACATCTTTGAAAGGCATGCAATCATGTGAAAACATCATCATCCAATGTACAGAAAAAAGAGAGGACAGGCAATGTGAGAGTGAGTAGTGGGAAAGACTTCAAAAGTGACTTTTAATTCACTAAATTTATTGTTCATAGTATGTCAGGCATCCAATCAAATCAATGTACATACCATGTGAAAAAAAAAAAATTTAATAATAATTTTAAAAAATTGTGTTTTGTGTTTCGGAATACAGGTTAAACAAAAAGTCTCTGGGAGATTCCTCAGAATGTTTTCCTACTCTTCAGCAAGACGGAAAAAAAGTTATAGACAGCTTTAGTCTCCAAAGCTTTCTTCTGGCCTCATGCTGAGTGGCTCTTGTGCTTCCTTCAGACACATGTGATCTGCCGCATCTTTCAACCTCTTCTTAAAGGTGTTGTGCCGTGAAGCGTAGTAATATCAAAACATTCTTCTTATATATGCCAATAATTGGTTGCAGTGGATTATATTTGTTATTAACAGTTTGAATGAATTTGTTTGAATTGCAATTAAGTTCCTTTGTATAGAAGACAGTATTTAAGTATAAACAACAATTAATATGTACCATTAGTCATGAATTTCTTATTTGATTTATACTTCACAATATAAACTATATTATTAGGCTTAGAAAAAATTAGGGCTTACTTTATTTTAAATAGTTGTTAATTACTTGTGAACGAAGAGCTGAAAAGCTTGTTGTACAGAAATTAAGAATAATTTGTTCTAAGATAAAACATTTGAAAGTAAGTAATCCACTTACAGCATTTCTTAATTCATGGATATGGGAATCTAAAAAATCATGTACATATTCTGAAAAAGGCTTAATCGCTTTTTGGATTGATACACATTTCGTGATTTATTGTCCTGCAAGTCCATTATTGTATTATTTAACTTGCTACCTCACTTTCTAAGTTCTAAAGTTAATATTAAAATAAAATATCCCCTGTATCACAAATTTGATTTGCAGCTTGTCTGTATTTTATAGTACAATAGCAATGAATTAAATTTTACTAGATGTTCACTTTGGTTCCTACCCAATCAAACTAATTCAAATTTTTATTTCAACTGTGTGTATATATATCAATGAATCACATATTTTGGTACTATTCTTAATATGTAAGATTACAAATACAGTACAAGATTATAACCATGTTTAATATTTCAATAAAGAACTTGTTTATACAAGTACAAAATTTAACATACTTTATTTACATAAAATCAGTGTTTGTACATAATTATGGACCTCAATACACATCCATTTTTGTTGTTGGTTTTGTGTGTTTTTTTTTGTTTGCTTTTTGTTTTGTTTTGTTTTTTCACTGTGATAGTATCCTTTATAGAATAATACAGTAAGATCTAAGACTGAGAAAGCACATATATTCACAGACCAGAAAAACAATCTGAGAACTTTTATTTAAAAACAGAAATACATGCATCAACTTCATTCAAGAATACCTATGATTAAACGCATCATTTGGGGAACAAACAATTATTGGAACCGTAAATGGTGTGTTCTCTGCCAACATCACCCTTTTACATAACATGAATTAAGTTTCCATATTCTCTAATAATTCAGAGCAAATCAATTTCTTCATCACACCTAAAAACTACCTCTCAGCCTAATTTTGCCTCATTGTTAATGCCCACCATGCACTGCCAATAATACCTCATCTTTGCAAATTCAGAGAAACTATGGGCACCAGACAACTCTGGATTTGCATTGGCGCCGACTTTGATAGTTCAGAACATAACATTTATAAAATAATCTCTTGATAAAACAAAAATACTTCCTTTAAACACACAGCTAAAACAACAGTACATCACAAAATTTATAAAATAGAAGTTTTACAATGATGGACTGAAATATAATGTTTGCAACAACAGATTCCTGGGAGAGAAAAATAAGACCCATCTTCTAATACATTGAGTACAGAGATTAGTACACATAGCTATATATTTTCATAGTAACAGTATTCGAACTCTGATAAGATACATTACACTTTCTCAGAAACAAAAGACATCCAGTGCAGGTAAACTTTAAAATGGCAGTAAATAAGATGCATTTAAAAATAATAGCTATGATCAAATGCAACCAAAAAGTTATTATTCCTCATTACAATGAAGAATAATTGTCTACCATTATAAATAATTGTCACTTCACACACATCATGAAACAACTTCTCAGTCTTTCAATTTTTAATCAGGGGTAAGATTAACATAACATAAAAGAAGAAATTTCATTAGAATTGCTACCTCAATTGTGTCACAATTATTATTGTCAAAACTATACCAACCACAATCGCCAGGGCCACCAGGAAGCACAATTTCCGTCGGAACTTCATCTGCGCACAAAAGTTATAAATTACAAACATTTTCTACGAATTTATTTAGAGGTGTATGATAACAGACTATTAGGAACACATAACAAGTACTTAATTACTAATAAAAAATCTAAAACATTACAAGATAAGTGGCAAAGAGAAAAAAATGTTAACCAATTCACGGCTTTTGGCGTGAACATTGCAGAGAATGGCATAACTGACTTTTGATGTCTCAGACACTGTGTCGGATCAGCACACAACAAACAAATGTCTGAAAATCGATTTCTATGCAGAACGTATGCAACATGTTTCTATTTATGGCTTATTCTGGTGTGTATTCTCACATTGTGTTGAAATTTTGTGATCTTATACCTAGTCCTTCCATAAATTTCAAATTGATCTGCAGGAAGAAAGAACACCGAGGCATTCAAATCTGAGGAGGAGATTCATGTGAAGGGGACAAAAGGCTAAGGGGAATAGGGTAAGGACAATTTTGAGAGAATGGACAATGACAGAAACTCAAGAAAAGCTATTTTCTTTCATGTTCTTCCTTTGCAATTGAAGCTTCATTTCTTTCAATGCAACATTAAAATGTGTATTGCCAGCCTATAGTTACTCAAAGTATCATGAACCTTTAACATTAAAACTTTTATTTTCCATCATTTCACTGTTTGTTCTCTTGGTGCCAAATATCAGTCGAGACATGCTTAAGTCTTAAGATAAGAGTCTAATAGCAGCATTATTGGCCAGCCATGAGAAACAAAAGCAAGTAAGTACAAATTATACTAGAGGAACCACAAAAGCACATACTTTCTCACATCCTATCTAACTGCTCCTCTGTATTATACTACTACATAAACATGCAAAAGTGTTTTAAACTAGCAACAATTTAATTACGCTCCCAGACCCTAACTCAAGAGTTAACTTGCCAATACCCATACCACTGAGCTACAGAAACGCCACATGGCAAATATTTGAACCCTTACAGATACCATGGTAAAAGACAAAACTAAATTGGTCCCATGTGCAGAGTTTATATTGTAATTAAATTTCAAGTTGATAGATTCATTAGTTCACTTAAATCCGTACAGATGCACAAAAAGACAACAGAAATTTGATGTGACATATGTTTTAGAAATTGAATAAGAGTTGAAAAAAATGTTTAAAACTTGCAAATTCGAAAGCACATACAGACCCTTCTTGTTTATTTATCTTTATTGTATTGTGAGTACAAGTAGAAGATAGTTTTCTGCAACAGCACATTCATAAAATTAAAAACCCTGTGCGAGACTTGTACCGGTGACCTTTCGGTCTCAAGTGCTGAATCCATACACGTCCTTTAACCACCTTGGCCATGTAGGGCAGACAAGGGCTCTACACTTCCATAATAGTCTTACAGACAGATTATTTCAGTTCTAGCATTAGGAAGTCGAATGATGAAATGTGAAAAAATGCAACAAAAGAAGGCAGCTGGGAAGAGAATAAGGCGTAACCAAAAAGGTAGTCCAGACTAAAAATGATTAGAAAACTAACTAGTGCGAGAAAGTATATGCCATTCTATAGCACCATTAGTTTATTAATCAACAATATGAGGAGAAACTTTAATGAAAAATTTTGTGCATGTTTCGAGAATATATATATTTTTTAATTGCATAAATTACAGACTAATTAAGAGAAATTAGCTAGTTTTTTCAAAGAATTGTACATGGCTTTCTTTAAAAAGACAGTCTTTTAAACAGACTTTGCTTGGAGCAAAAAATTGCTTTCTCTAATTTCGAAGTTTTGAAATATTCACTTTTTGGCATTTGGAAATAAACTGATTGGCCAAAAATGGAACTAGCCCCATATTTTTAAACTGTCCCTTATTACATATGAAGATAATATTTTTTTTTTTTTAAATTGCCTACATTTTGAGCAAAATTACACGTAAATTACAGAAACACTACTAATATTTTTGAAAAATTGATCATGAACTTAAGGATTTGCCTTTAAGGAAAAAAATCTCTATCTTCAATATTATAGTTGTAGGAATATCCCCTCAAAAAATCTATGATCTTAACAAGCATGAGACCACCACTATTCTTTTAAGTGTTTTTTTCGGTATCTGAAGACAAAGTTTGATTAAAAAAATTGGTGCAATTTTTCGCGAAAATTTTGAAAAGCCTTTTCAGACTATGTAAAGTTTCCTCCAAAACCAAAAATATCTGTTTGAAACTCCGAAGTATACGAGTTAATTTAGATTGATTGTGGAAAACCAAATTTAAAGAAAATAGGCTGAACGGTTTAGGCGCTAGTGTTGACCACACACAGACCGACAATTGTTTGACAATTGACAAATCAATTGATTTTTCAATATCAAGAACCCACGAAATATGGATTCTGGCTACACTACGTATTAGAAGAGGTATTCCTCCATTCGCCTTTCACTGAAGAGATCATATGAAATAGTTGAAGAAAAAGGAGGATAATATAATTGTTGCACAGTAGTCAAAAGCAAACGTTAGTGAAAGACCTGCAGAACAAATATTTATAGACATTCAGATAAGTTGCAACATTTTCTTAATTTATACAACAAATTTTTATTAAGATGTGATCTGATGAATTTTGTTGAATTTAATGAGTGCATTAATGAAGAAACATAATTCCAAACACGCAGCATAGTAGCCAATGTATGCCTCTGTAGCATTCCAATTTGACAACAAACCAAAATGACACTTAAAAAGCTCAGATAATATCCAAAACAAAAGCAAAATGATAACACTGAAAATATAAAGAACAATGTCAGAAACAGAAAAATCAATAGGGACATGAACACATGGGATGGGAGCACAAGGATTCCAATAACAGTGATGAATACAAATACAGATGAAAAAGGAGCCAAGCAGATTGAAGAAAAAATGAGAAAATGTAAATACCCTAGTTAACTAAAAAATTAGTTACAAGTTTTAAGTCTTCCAATTCCAGATCAATAACATTTTTGCTGATGATTTCAATAGAAGAACAATTTAACTAAATGATAACTTCAGTAACAAAACATACCTGATATTGAGCAGCTTTCTCCAATTCTTCTTGTCCTTGTTCAACATTTGCATGTACATTTTCAAGATTATTTTCTATGGAATCTGCCAAAAAAATTGGGGGTATTAAAAAATGAGCAAACTACAAGCAATTCAAACATATTCTACATAAACTGCAGCTTTTTTACTTAAGCCTAAAGAAAACTGCTATATTATAAAATAAGAGCAAATTATATTCAAAACAAATAAAGAATGGGGCCTGTTGAATTATAGTTTACATTGTCATGTCAAATAATCAAAGAATCGTCTCCTCCTTTACTTCAGTAGTATAAATATCTTTTGTGGCTCTCACACACCTTTATAAACAAGATCTCTTAAGAAAGAGTTTTATGGAGACGTGAGAATTGCACTTAGACTTTAAAAATATGAAGGAATTGTAAATTTAATGTGTTTTTTTTAACAAGTCAAATGCAAACTGCAACACTTGTGCACAATTTCTATTTAAATAACTCTTGAACAAAGTGTTCTAGGATCTTAATTTTGAGGCCCAAGGACTCAAGTAGTTTCTCACTCCATGATCTACAGAATGAGATGGACATTCTCTTATATTTTTGTCAATTCAACGTTTCTCAATGCAACGAGAGCATACTTATCATAAAGGCACATTAAATATCTTTTATCAATGTGTTCCCTGCGGTGCCAAAGAAACACTAATCTGAATCCGTTCTATATTAGTCGTAATACAACTCTTAACCATTTTTAAGAAAACAAATTATTTAATGTAAATAACGTGTCCAACGATATTCAATAGAGGAATGACTATTTCTTTACTTTTCATGAAAATGTCTAGAAACTGTTAATGTAAATAAGTACAAAAATAACACAAATTAAAAATGAAATTTAAGACTGCAAGCAGAATTTTTTACTGACAGAAGAAAATTTGTACCTAGGGTGCTACTGATTGTTTACATTTTATTTCACAGAACTATAAATTATTTTCAAAACAACATCTAAACTATTTTTTTCTTACTAACCAAATATTAACAACTTAAATGCTGGAATTTAAATAGTTTGATTTGCTTTTTCCTTACTGAAGAAATTCTCTACTGAGGAACTTTAACAAATAGTAAATACTTACTCTCACAAAAGTTTTCATAACTTCACTTTACAACAACCAGTCGCAAAATTGATTTCTGAGAGTTTGTGTAATTGCTGTGTAGCAATATTTTGATCAGTAATTAATTTTCCAAATTATGTGATTAAAACTGTTTCACACTTTGACATATTTAATGAAACTGGCAGAACGCAAAACATGATTGAAGTTATTTTGAACATTTTCAATGCAATAAACGCTTTTGTCACATCTTCTAGCCTCCCACCCAACAAGTTTTTGTATTTTTCGCAAGGATGCAACTCTCTAATTCTCATACAAAACCATAAACATACTGCTTGGCATTCATTTCTACTGAATCTATATTTAATTCCCCCACACTTATTTCTGCGAGGGCTAGAGGTGAAACAATTTTTTCCACTAAATATGAGGCTGATATTTTGTTTAGAGGAGTTCTGGATCTCATATAAAGAAAGTATCAAGAAAACACCCCAGTAATCTTTTAAATGCTTAACCTGTTCTTAAAAATGCAACTTCACAGCCAATTCAGTGCACTTCAACAATGCCCTCTGGAATGCAAAGCAAGTGTTGACTTCACGGGTGCCATCATTAACTTCAGATGGGATTGACTTCAGCTATTCATAGTTTTGAATTGAATTGAATTAATGCCCCATTTTACTCTTCCATCTGACCATGCAAATTTCGCTACGCTCCTTTCACCAACTAGCAGAGAAGGGAGGTATTTCTTGGGCGAGAAACAGGCAATTTGAATTTAGCTCAGAGGAGTCATTTAGGCCTGAGGATCTTTTATATGCACGTAAATCTACTAACATGGGCCAGTCAGCTTTACTCCCCCCGAAAGGAAGCGTACGAAGGATTTTTTTCGTCCTTAAAAATCCACGGCTTCAATTGGGTTTGAACCTGCCAACTTGGGTATAGCAGCCTGATATGCTAACCGTTACACTATCACCTGCTTGTTTTATGTTACCTCCGCCACGATCACTAGGTGTATCCGCATGCATCCCTTACTAGCCAAAAAAATGGGCTGAGCAGTGTCACTGTATGAAATTATCCCACTGTTCAGAGGTGTGCAGAATCTGCACCTGTATGCGAAATTAAACTAATTACTTGATATTCTAGGCAATTAAATTGCACGGGTGTACCTCTCAGCTTGGTAATAAAGTTAAATAAAAAAAGAGTAGGATAATGCTTCCCTGATCCTGTATTTTCATGCAGACATCTTTATGTACCGTTCTTGAGAGTAAAAAGTTTTTGTGGTGTTTTCGTGACTGTCAAGGAAAGCGAAAAGTTGTCGAGGAAGGTAGTAGAATTTCTTCAAATGTAGGATTACTTCAAAGGAAGTGTTATCAATTATTCCAAGAGCATTTGTCTATTATACTGGATAAACCCTTAATAAATTTGTTTAAAACATTAATTGCATAGTTTTTTTATTTTCATTTGATATTCTATAAGTACATCGGAAGTAATGGTTAAATATTTTTTAACCCTCTGCGTACTAAAGGGTCACTGACTACGGAAATCTCTCACAGAAATTTTACAGAAATTCATTAAAAACTCTAACGGATTTAATTGTGTCTCAATGAACTTTTTATTCAATTTTTTTTAAATCTTATTTCATTTTCATTGAATACATTTATATATGCCTTACATTATGTAATGATTCCTAAAAAATGTGTTTGGGGGTCTTGCGAGCCCCCTTGGTATTTTCTGTAACTTCTGAGAATAAAATGCTTGGTTTTGTCTCATAATATTGTGCTTCTAACAAGTGTAAAGCCAGATGCGGTTCCCAGAAGTGATTGTCCCTTAGTTCTATTGTTGAAGGCATGAGGTTTCTAGAAATTAGGAGCCTAATTCCAAGCCCATTCTTCTTGTTTGGTAACACATAGCTTGCAATGAAGTTCAGTTGAAAATGGATTTTCTTGTTTCTTCAAGTGCAAAACTAATGGTTGAGATGGCTAGATATGCCTCTGACAACCTTGAGGATGCACTACAAGAAGAAACTGAAGAGTGTTCCAAAGTTAATGAGGATTTGGACATAGCAGACAAAGAAGATAATGAAATTCAAGGGAGTGAACTTGGAGAAATGTTAATGGAAGACAGGTGAAATGTTTGAGTCAAAATGTGTCATCCTTTGATACAAAGCACTACTTATATGCAGAAAACAAACATTTTCCAAGGTTATTCATGTTTCTCTCGGTATCTCATCAGATGTTGATAGACAGGTAATATTTTGCCAATTTTTAAATTATTTATTTCTCCAGCAATTGTGGAAATTATTTTAAAATACATTAACAAGAGAGGTGCTTGGGAAACATATCTATAATAAGAAGTCTGAAGGTGAGAAAAGAAAGTGGGTTGATGAACATGAAATCAAGATATATGCTTTTATTGGACTCGTCTGCAGTGGAGCCACACAAAGCAATCGTCAACAAGTTTCTATACTACGGTGTTCAGACTTCCTTTTTCAGAGGCCAATTTATGCAGCAATGATGCCACAAACTCAATTTTTAACTATATTGTGTTCTCACATTTTATGATGTGCTGAGTCACAATGAACGAATAGCAACAGATAATTTGACACCGATTCAAGAGATAACTGACCTATTTACCTCTTACGATCAGCAGTATTACAACACTGGGAGTCATCTCACAGTAGATGAAAGATTGGTTCCTTACAGGAGTCAGCATTCCTTTTTGTGTATATATGAAAACAAAGCCTGGAAAATATGGTATCAAGATCTGGGAACTGGCTGACAGCGACCCAGCTTATTACAAGAATTTGCAAATCTACTTATGGAAAAAAAGATAGACCCTGCGAAAATCAGGAAAAAGGCGGTTCTTGATTTAGTAAATATCTTGGGCTCTGGACATAAAATTATGACCGATATTTTTTTCACATTGTTGGATTTGGCCGAAGAACTTATAGACAGAAAGCTAACATTTTGCAGGACTAAGAAAAAACAAATCTTTCATACCACCTCAATTTCTTTCATCAAAACAATGCCAATTATATACTCTTTGATTTTCGGCTACCAACCTCAAGTTACATTAGTTTTCCACAGCACACATGTGAACAGATGTGTAGTGTTGATTTCTTCTGAACATTATTCTGGTATAATAGATTAGAAAGAATCACATAAGACGACTCCACATTATAAAAACACCAAGGAAGGAGTCGATACGGTAAATTGCATGGAGGAAAGTATTCAGGGTATGCAGGGATGACAGGTAGGTGGCCCTTGGTGCTCTTCATGAATACGATTGACTTGGCAAGAGTGAATGCATTTGTTAAGGAGGGTCTAAGGAGATGGCTCAATGATCCATCAATATGAAACCACAACCCTCAGACTTTCTAAAGATAATGTCCCGGTGTCTGGAAAGTAATTTTGAAATGGGCAAAGATAGTGAACTGGCTAGGGAAGGCACACCAACACGTTCGTTAAATTCTGCGATGAAGCGATCATGTTGCTACATATGCCCAAGGAAAAGTCATATACAAGTTAAAATTTTTTTTGTTCAGAGTGTAAAAGGTTTGTTTGCAAGGAACATTGCTTAGATCGATTGATATGTGTAAATTGTAAGTGATTTTGAGTTAAGATTTATATTTTTCTACATTTATACATTTCCAAATTTGTTACTTTTCAAAATAAATATTTTTGAACTAAATTTTTTTATTTTCATACACATTTATATTTGATATTCTTTTTCCTATTGTTCAACAGATACCAACTAAAAGGATTTTTGGGTCCAGTCAGAAAACAATTATCAAAAGTGACATTGGAAATGGAGTCTTGAAAGGACTCTCATGGTATTTTAAGTTCCAGCAAGTCCGTGGTATTCGGAAGGTTAAACAAATAAACATGTTTCTTTAATAGCTTTTACCCTTAATATGGAAATGGAAGGGCAGAGAATAGGGTGGGATTTAACGTGCAAGAGATCTTGTATGGGTACACTAGTTTCATTTATCACTGTATTTGCTTTTTGAAAATTTTCACCAAAATCAATTCCCTTTCAAACACATTTCTTTACTTTTGAACTATCTACTACAGTGCTGAAGAGAAGAGTCTAATTTTTAAAACCTCCATATCAGTATTGTATTTTATAATTTAGGTCATAAAAAGAAACACTTACTTATAGTTTCTCCTTGTTCATGAACCATAGATCCCAGTTCCCGCATAATTTCATTCACATCCAAAATATCATCTTCAATTTGCTTAATTCTTTGCTCCCTTTCCAGGAGCATTTCCTGTTCAAACTGCAACTCATTCTGCAGAGTTTTCTGAGCAGCAATTGCCTCCTGCTCCACAAGATGCTGTTGTTCATCCTCTTCACAGTACCCACTCGATTGCTGCCTTACGAACAGCCTAATTTTTATTTTCTCTGCAACTTGCTAGAACAGTATTAAATTCAAAAGCATTAAAGAAGATAAATAGATTTGATGTGACAAAGGATGAAGATTTTTCTAGTCCTGGGCAATGGCACACAGTAAGAGAGGCTGAACATCTGGGACCTAGGTAATACCTTCAAGAGAGGGGTCTCAAAAATAAGCAACTGATGAGTATTCGTGAATGAATCAGTGCAACTATTACAAATAGACTTTTGTAATAAATGCAATGTTAAATACTGTACAGGAATTTAACATTTTGCAAAATTTGATATATCACTTTTTGGAACAGGACTAACCAATCATTTCAAAACATTAAACAAAATGAACAGATCATGTATTTGTTCTGATTACTCTCAGGGAATTACTCTTGAAAGTAAACAAAATCTCTACTGATAGCCACTCTAAGTATGATCCTCAAGCTTTTGTGAACAAATTAACCCTTGTGACCGAATATTATTTTGCGTTTTTCTCTTTTATAATCATAACTTTAGTAGTAAAATATGTCTAACAGAGGTTAAATGTATGACACTTCATATTTCTACAATGTGAACGTGGGCATTCTGTTATACTCATTTGAAAGAAACCAAAGAGAAAGCAACTGCGTACAATGTTACATACATACTGCAACAGTAAAACAAATTAATACTTACTTCCTTGATTGTGAACATCAACTTTACATGTGTGTCAAACGCTTTGGAAAAAAAAATCCAAGTTTTGATATTTTGTATTCATTTTCTTTTTTATGTGTATTTATTTTAATCATTCATTTCACATTAGTTTATTTTTCTTTCATAAGACTTAAAATATTGAATAAAAAAGTAAGTGCCCTACACACGAGTGTTGCAATGACGTAATACACATTGTAATATAAAACTATCTTATTTGAAACGCCACACAAACAAATTTGTCCATTCCACATAAAAATACAGGATTAATCTATGACATGCATTAATTAACACACGTCAATTCAAGGCTTTTGTGACAGGTCTAAAAGTGTTCATTTTTGTTCATTGGATTGGTTAAGTAATATTTCACTAAGATTTCACAAAGAATTAAGCTTTCTCTGTGATACATAAAAGTGTGTTCAACATCAGTGTGCAGTGACAGAAACAGCCCCATATACATATAAGATTCACAATCGTATGAATCCATCATGACTTACAAGAAATTAGTGTTGCATACAAATGCCACAGCAGTCAATGTATTAAACTTTAATATAGTTTTTTCTAATTTTCCTTTGTTAATAAATTGTTCTTACCATGAACAATGCATTTTCATTTATAGTTTTTGTTTTGGCACAAAGCAATTGTATTTGTCTTGGGAGAATTGTGCGAGACTGGTTTCATTTCATGTGCAACACAAGGTTAACTTTCAGAGATGAATGTTAAAATAAAAGTTAGTTTGGAAGAGTAAGGAAGGCCACATTTAAATTATACAATTCACAATAAGGTTGTAAAATTGAGCAATTTGTCTTATTTCACATGAAACATTTAAGTTTCCAAAAACAAATAACAGGCTAAATGTCATAAAATAAATTACCTGCTGCAATCTACTATACTGTTGAACAGCTTCTTTAAAGTCATTGCGTAATTTTTCAACCTGAAGTTTCTGCTGCTTGCCTCCTTTTCTGACTATAACATTTAGACGCTGCAAATCTTTGGTGGTCTGAGTAACAATTCGGTTGCAGCTTAACTGAGTGACACGACTAAAACGAAGTTGAATAGCAATTAAAAGTACAAAAACAAACAATGGAATTATTGATGTTATATTATTTTGCCTTACACTTTATCTCTCAGCCCTTGACTGTCACGTTCAGTACCAATTGCCTTCAATGCGTCTTGAAGAGTTTTCCAACTTGTATTTATTGTGTATATATTCGTTGTAATGTTTTCACATAAATTATATAGTTCAGTAGGGCTGAACGGTGAGCCAGAGAAACCAACATTAGGGACGTCATCGTTCGTTCCGTAAGTTTTCTGGGCGTCAGCAGCAAAGCCTCTAGACATATTCCTGTCGTCCAACCCACAAGATCACTAAAAAGGATAATGGATGGAAAAACCGCGTTAAGCTGAGAAATCATAACATTTCGTTTAAGTGCGTAATCAATTTTAATTTCAGCGTACCTTCAAATATTCTATATCGAGCTGGACTGAAGGTGGAATTGATTTTTTTAACACTAAAATGCTTTAGATGGTGTACGATGAATTTGACAGCTCCTCCTTATGATTACAGCATTACAATCCACTAAAAAAACTCAATTCCTTAGCGATTCTCCCACTTTTTTCAGACCACCTCTTGAGTTCACAATGCGTAAGGTACGATCCCATGAAATACCGATACTTCACAATCACGAGTTACAATAGCTGCATTCACAATTATAACCCACAAGAAGTAGGGATGACGCACGCCTACATGACGAGAGAGGATCTGAGTGAACAAACATATAGTGAAAACAGCAGCAGACAATGCCAAAGAATACAAGTACACGACAGACTATGACAAGTGATCGTGACAAGGACAGAAAAACTAGCCCCGACGCCGCACAGCTGCTCACGGCCTTTTAAATACACTAGGCGCCTCATTCTCGCCTTCTTGAATTCGTCCAGAGAACGTTTGTTTCTTACGGTCGCTCAAAGCAGTTGCGTTCAGTTGATCCAAGAAGCGTTGTAATATGTACTACGTTAGTCAAAAGCAAATTCTAATTTCCAGTATATACGGAATATTCTTTACTATTCTGAAAGTTTATTCATCATTCTAACATTAAAATATTTTCTAATTTTTAAACTAATGATTTTCAACGTTATTGAGTTTCAATAATCAGAATAAAGATACTGCGCGAGCTCACATACAGAGAATTGATTACTTACGAACTCCGACTTGCTTCTCTTTGCCATTAGTCTTCACTTCACAACAACCATTGGCCCGTAAGTATGCTCTCTTTCTTCAGAAGTTAATATATATAATTGTGTGTTTTATAAATAGTTGGATACGCTCCCAAAAGTGATTATAAACTTGTGTCTATGTTTGTATGTATTTGTAATGTTCTAAAAAGTATTATAATTAAAAATTTTGTATTGCGCAAGTCTCGAACAATGGCCGAAGTCCGAAGATTCTTATTCAGTTACACGGGTTTATTGCAATAATTGTTTAGATGCTCTTATTAGAAAAGAAAACTGAGTAATTGGATTTACAAATTGTATGTAAGGGTGAGTGAGTAAAAGCCCTTGGTACAACCCCATATTTTTTGAGGATATTTAGTCTTATCATTGTGGCTCCCGTCATGTAGAACAAAGGATAGAATGGAAATGATAGTTGTACCTATTAATGTTTGGGCATTCTTCGTAGCAGTAATTAATAATTCATGAAATCAATAAAGTGTAGTAGCTAGTATTTGAATTTAATATTAAATTTGAGACCTTGAGTAACCATTTTGTTTCTGGGTAAAGTGTGCGTTTACCTTGAATTTTGACTTTGACCTCAATAGGCCGGCACTCTGGAGTACTAAGCGTGTCTTTCCTGTTAGAGATGGAAAAAATGTCACTGGCGATCGCTTATTTATTATAAAAGATCATCCTTAGCTTTTTTTATTTACTCTACATTTTTGTTTCCAACTCATAAGTTTCTGTGAGAGGCAGTTATTGTGTCAGTTAAATGTTTTTCATCACCCTGAAAATTACTAGCATACTTGAGACTAATTTGACAACGCTGGATGGGCAACCTTGAAGGATGTTGAACCTTGCGTTGCCAGATCCACTGCTGTTCATTTCGGCAAGTGAGTCATTGACCGTATCGAGAACATACTCGTACTCGTGAGAATTTCTGCACTTTCAAAATGTATGAATTTAAGAGTGGCCGGATAGTATTTCATTGTGCAAAAAGAGGGGGTAGAGAGGGACGGGGAAAGGCAAGTTCCACCAAAAAGTCACAATAGTTACTGAATGGTTTGGGGTAGTGCACGTGTAGTGATCGGGGCTTACAGGGGTGTGCCCAGGGAATCCGGGGAGATAGGTGGTGGTGGCGGCAGTCCTGGTGACTGAGGTCCATGCATCGCATCGTATTTGGAATCTGCCGAGTATGTATTTATTGTATTTTGCGGCGTGGGGGAGGGGGGAGCAGGTCAGTGCAGGTTGCATGGGCCCTATGAAGCTAGAGACGCGATGGGATCTTAATAGATTGCTACCATTGTGTTTTTCTTCAGAACCTGCAAAGGCATAGATAACTTTATACTATTTAAAAAAGACACCTTTGTTCACTGGAGAAAAGTGATTCTTGCTCAATTGTATACAGTTTTTAAGACTAGCCAAAATTTGTTTTACTTCCATTATCGATTTTCATGAAGCGTTGTGTAAAGATGGCGGCGACTTTGTCTCCAGTATTCCGGGCAGCGTGAAATGCCATGTTTCGTATTATGCTAGGAGAAGAAAATGGTTTGCTGTTTCAATCCGTGCTTGCCCGTCCATTGATATGATTCTCAAGAACATTTGCTGTATAGTAGTGGAGGGGTTAATGAACTTAGATTGTGAACTTTGCGCGTAAAGTTCTTGAGTTTGTAATTCCTTTTCGTTTTGTTTTTACAGCTTCCCAACCCCATTTCTCCTGAAGGTGATAGTTGTTCATTGTTTTGGGGGCCGACACACAAGCAACAACGGACGGCCCTAGAGGACCGGGAGGTGCTTCTCGTGTCTCAGGAGGAAGGTAATTTTAAAATTGGCAATTGGCAAATTCTTATATTGTATCGGTACATTGTGAGTATCTTGAAAAGCTTGTATTATGTATGGTGATCATGTCATTTTCACAGCAAGATAACTTGTGGTCTTTGAATTTAGTTTGATTGAACTTTCAGATTGAAAAATGTCATAAATGTGAATACCTGTATTTAACACTTGATGTATTGTGTATGTTTTGCCTTTATTCAATACGATGACTTTCTATGAAGTTCGTAAGCTAGGTTTGTGTTGCATTAAAGATAGTGAAGATGAATGGAAACTTTAATTCCTTTGTTGCTCTAGTAAGAGTTTGATCAGAAAAAAATTCGATATTTTCTCTTCTGCTTTATTGAAATGGGTTTGTGCAAACCCCGTCTGTTGTATAAAGGTGTAGTGATATAATTTGCAACTGGACATATTGTTAATGATTTTAATATGATGGATGCAAAAGTTTAGAAAATAATAAATTGAGGGAATATCTCTCTCAAAAGTTGTAACTTTATGAAAGTGGTTGTAATTAACAATTATGTACTTCTAAAATAGAAATCCTCTCCCCTGAAAAAGTGGCTGAAATACTGGTGATTCTCAGAGAAGCTGATAGAAATTGTTGCTAACAAGGGTTTAACAGGGCTTTTGGTCTTTTATAATGTTTAGGGTAATAAAAAGGTTTTTAATCAAAATCTCTAGTAGATTACATTATAAGATAACTAATATTTGATACATCCGTTAATATGGAAATCTTGGGCACTTGGTTATAGTGTCCTCTTATTTGATTGCTTTTGGCATTTGCGTTGTAATAGTTCTCGTTACAAACCAGTTTGGGCATTTTTTTTATTTTGAAGGGGAGAAATCGTTGTGCTTAAATAAACCCCTTTTAGATTTTTCTTTCGTTGTTTCTGAAGTCCCATAGCAAATAAAATACTTAAATAAGAATACACTATATTTATTACTCATTTGAGTGTACAATACTGGATAAAGTATAATAATAGTGCTGCTGTCCAAATAAGAAAATGTATGTTTTGGACACTGTTTCATTCTTGGAAATACTTCTAATTCAAATAATGCATTACTGAACAAATATGTGCAATTTATTTGTTATTACAATGCAAACACACAAATTCCCAATGGAAATCAAGATTATATGTCTAGGTCAACAATTATTAACATTGCTTTCTTTTTTCTCTTCTTCCCTGTCACTTGTTCTGTGGTATTTCAAGAACAAAAAAGTCCCTGATAAAAGAAGAGCAACTTGGAAAAAAATGTGATTTTTTTTTTTTTTTTTTTTTTCCCTCCTGCAAAAAAAAGATTCTTACATATACGCTTCTCAAACCTGAAGAAAGTGAATGAGATTTCAAGAGTATTGTCTCGAGTCCTCCTCTTATTCATTTTTCTAGATTTCTTTTTGTGTGTTAGGGATCCATCTCCAGGAAAACATAAGCAACCTACCTCCTTACTTTGCTTCTAAAGCTACAGCATTCTGTAATTGCGCAAAATGTCACAGCAGCCCATAATTACTCTCAGCACCTAACACTGTTTCTCTAGCATTTGCATAGGTCAGGGCTTCAATATGAAAATCACAGAATCGCTGCCTGTCATTCTCACTAAGCTAGACATGTCACTTTTTTTTTTAAATTCTGGCAAAATGGGTAGTTACGACACAGTTGCAGTGTAAGTTTGCCAATAGTCATGAAATAAATCTGAATCTTTTTGACCCTATTAGGCATAAATCCAAAAATTCTTCTTAAAACAAGTTTCATTTCTTAAATAAGCAAGAAAGGAACACCTAGAGCATCAGCATATATGTCCTCTTTCTGACCCTTCAATTTTGTTTCTTGGAAGAACTTTGATGAATTCATGACATGCTGGTTTTGTAAACATGTTTTCTTTTATGTGTTACAGAAATTTTTCTATTTTTTGAAGAAAACTCATTTTTTCTAGAAAACCGGGAAATTTCATTGCCCTGGAAAATTCCGTGAATTTGTAGAATTATTAAGGCTGAAAAAAGTTTGAGATGGTTACATAAGTAGAGGTTATTCCTTTACTTAATTTGTCCAGTGAAAGTGTCTAAATTTTTATTTGACATCTTAACTTTTACATTATGTAGTTGGAGAGCTGACAAATTAGTTTTAGGCTTGCTTTAATGATTTTATAAACAATTCTTACAAATCTGAAAGAGGAGAAAGCACCGGACCCCGAAGAGAAGTCTTCGAAATTTCGTCCAGGAAATACCACCCGGTATATCAGACTAAATCGAGCCGAATTGGGTTAATTCATCATCAGCAACCAAAGAAACACTAACATTTATGAATTCATTCTAAAATCACTCGTAGGTTATTTCACAACTTCCCTTGTAGTATAGCTAGTCACACACTTTATGAAAATCAGCTGCTGCAGTTTTATCCAATCGGGAGCTTATATTTTACTACAGTGATAACACTATGGGGAAATTCAGGCTTCCGATTCGATGAAACTGATCTTCAAGTGTGCGGTTGAATAAATCCTAATATAGGGCACAAACTTTAAAGTTATTTAACATTGTTTAACATGTTTCAAGTTTAGGTGGTGTTTACAACACACATATATCTCACGTTGAAGATAATTCCTAATTTCAGTCTGCAAAATCAAGAGGTTTCTGATATCTCTAGGACAAGGCTTTGTTGTATGTGGTGTACTCTATTTTCTGCATTTATATCACTATTCATCATAGAAAATGAATCCTGTCGTCATTTTTGATGTGTAGGATATTATGTGCTTATTCCAATGTGCGGTTATCATTTTAACTTTAGGTGTAGAGGGACAAAGGTCATCAGAATTGTCTTATTGTGATGCTGCTCAGTTGACTCGGTTCAAAACAGGTATAATTAACAAAATTGTGGTTGTGGTGGTGGATGACTAAAAATTTTTCCTCAAAGGGGAGCTAGATTGTTCTGTGCATTGGTGATACTATTCATTTCGATGAAATGGTATTAGAGTAATGATTCATGACACAAAGCATTCTCTTGCAGTGTTCTCCCTCAAGATAATTGCATAATTGCTTCATATACTTTTATTTTTGTTGCAGGGACGAACCTCGCTCCCTCTCCACAAAGCGGCGCTGGATCCCTCCTTCGACTGTTAGACGCGATGCACTCATCCCAGAAAACCGGAATGACCTCATTTTCCGAAAGGTGTGTGTGAATTGCCCTGCAAATAGTGCTTGTTATACTTTAATGAATATAAGTCCATCCATGTTTCGTCAGGAAGGTTTTTATGTATGAAATTAATTTGTGAATGGTATTTGTAGTTGGCAATGCTGAAATGCTTGTGTGTTTAGGTTCGAGGAATCCTCAATAAGCTCACCCCGGATAAATTCCAGAAGCTGAGTGATGACCTCCTGCGTACAGAACTTAATTCTAGTGTGATTCTTAAAGGTGTTATACTGCTTGTAAGTATATTTTTTAAATATTATGGCTGTTGCTGTTCGTGTGTTCAGGGAATCTTCTATTTTATCTTAATAGTTGGTGTCAAAGTGGTTTTCTTTTGAACGAAGCCACAATTTTACATGAGTACAAGAATTAATTATTTCAATTTTAAGAATTTTTGAAGAGTTTTAATAAAGTACCTATGTATAAAACGATAACTCAATGTATCAATAACTCGTTACAAAAAATTTACGTACAAAATGTGTACAATGCATCAATTAAAATCTCTACAAAAGTTTGTGGCAAGTAAAATATTTTCTGTTGCATAACTTTCTATTCCTCCTTGTTTAGGTTCTAGATGTGAACATAACTTCAATATCAGTACAAGTTTTCTAGAGTTCAGAGGAAAATTATTATTTGTGTCTTTCTCTGTTCTGGTGGCAGTAAGTGGATTCCTTTGCGAAGGGCATAAGGGGTAATACCTCAAACCTACAGTTGATTTCAGTTTGCAAATACTTATTACATGGGAGTGGATATTTTTTCATTGGTTTTTGCCAAAATCTCTCAATTCCAATTGTATTTATATTTCAATTTCTATATGGGTTAAGGTAGGAATCCAAAAATTTAAGAAAACATTCACAGAATACACTTCTCATAGTATATCTCATAGTCAACACTCTTTTCGCTGTATATAAACAAATAAGGTAAATAAACCGGAAACATTAGAATTGAGATGTATTTTACAATTTCAAGTTCTGTTTCAAAATTTAGGGTACTTTATTAAATAAGTGAGATTTGTAGATTCTATACTTGGATTTGATGCTACTGGTACGTTTTTCTAAAGATAACCATGGAAAGAAATGTGTCGATTTGAAATAGAAAAGTTGTCAGTACCAACCTTCATGCTTGTGAAAATAGAATTCATTGCATCAAATTCATGGAATTATTGCTATCTTCTTTCAAGTTATCCTTTTTAAGAAGTTGCAATTGTATTGGTGAAGTTTCAACATTTGTTATTGAGAATATTGTAATATATTATAAGCTATTAAAACCCTTTGATTACAGTTTGGTAACATAATGTACAGGGTCTTTATTTTATCTCACCACCCTTCTTTGAGAGCATCTACTCTTCTAATTTGGCAGCCAAATTTTTGCCACTAGTAGAGGCATACATTTTTGCAAAATTCAAGAAGTATGTAGTTCATCTTCATATTGGTCCTAGTTGGTTGGGATAGGTTGTATGTTGCATATCTATTTAAAGAAATATGAACGTTGTAGTAATAAGCTGTTAAGGCAATGTGTGTGTATAATAATTTTTGCGTTGGTGATATTTTGGGCACTTGCTTTTGAGGTGATGGGCAACTCAGATGAAGACTTTTGATTGGTTAAGAGTGAATTTCCTGCATTTAGTGAATTATAGTAGGAGTGAATGGAAGAATTAAATTTTGAGGTAGTTATGAGTTATGAATACATGTCTAGATATATTTGTGATTTTGTGGCTGAATAGTTAAAAATGTTTTAAAAAATTTTTGGAAGACTTTTTAAAAATTAGTCTTGTTAAATTTAGTAGTCATATAGGCAGGGAAACAAGGAATATACAAATGCCAAAGATGAAGTATTGTAGATAAATTTGTAGTTTTCAAAAGAAAATCTTTTAGGGACGGAAAATTGAAAAATGATAATCTATTGCAATTTCTTATCCTAAAGCTTCTCAATGTTGATACAGTAATAAGTTTGTTAAAGGGTATGAATTATAATTAATTAGAGATGAAACATGACTAAAATCACTTGCAAAATCCTAGTGATTTTGCACTGATTTTGCAAGGTACTAAAGTACAGAAAATATTTTTCCACAAATCTCATCTAGTATATATCATACAAAGGATGAGACTACTTTTTTTCCTGTAGCTTCTGTGTTACTCTTCTGTAATATAAATATTTGTAGAGTGTTTTCATGTATAAAGTCTGTAAACACCAGCACTCTTGTACTGGTAGGTTGGTTGTTTTGATGGATCTATTTTGTAGGCATTATGTGCATTTTGCATACCAGACAATGGAGATGAACAGTACATTGCAATTAAATTGTTTTCCTTTAAACCAATACACTCACTGAAACCTTTGAAAGGCTGAAGAAAGAGCATGGTGAAGATGCACTACCTTGTGCAACTAGTGTTTAGGTGGTTTAAGAATGTCAAAGAAGGCAGGCTTCTGTGTTAAGCAAGGTGCCACATGTTTCTGCTTCTGCTGCGACTGAAGTCAACATCAGCACAGCTGCTGTGATTTTCCATGAAGATAATCTATTAGGTAACCTCAGTGAAGTGTTGAGAAGTTATGACAGTGCCTTTACTACAATGCACGATCATCTCCATATGGCCAGAGTTTGTGCTTGTTGAGTGCCAAGTCTCTTGACTCCCTAACAAAAGGCTATTTTAAATGGAGAAAAGCTTTGAAATGCAGCAACTTTGCTCATGGGGATGCAGTTTTGAAATCTATTGTCGATGATTAGTAATGGCTGCATCATCATTAGCCTGGAGGGAAAAAAGCCAGCAGTGTGGTAATCACCTGATTCTCTAACACCAAAAAAGGCGTTCCATCTGCAGGAAAACTGATCATCATATTTTTCTTACTGTGATGGAATGATTTACCAGCATGCAGTTACCCCTCCCACTACTGTTACAGCAGCAGGCTACATGTGTATTGGCTTCACTGAGGAAGCACATTGCAAAGAAATAACAAGAGCTTTCTTGGACTGAGTGGAGAGTTTGTTGCAATGCACAACCTCATATCGCAAATTAAGTAATGCTGTTTTTGGCTTGATTCAAATTGACTTGTGAACTGCATCCAACTTTAGTCCTGATCTTGCACCGCAATTTTTTTATTCCCATCATTAAAAGTGAAGCTTAGGGGCATTTAATTTGAGAACTCTGAATTTCTGAATAATCTGCTTTCATGGATCTAGGATATGAATAATTCCAATTAAGTTTTTATGTTGGTTTGCTTGATATGTAGAAATCTGCTATGAATCGGTACTTGTTTATATTTGACAAATTGTGGACTGAGGGGGGGAAATACGTAGTCCAATTATTTTTCTGGTCTATTTTTTAGATCTTTGAGAAAGCCCTCGATGAGCCGAAGTACAGTTCTATGTATGCACAGCTGTGCAAAAGGCTCTCTGAGGAAGCACCCAATTTTGAACCTGTACCTAATCCCTGCACGTTTCGTCTGCTGCTTTTGAACAAGTGTCGCGCTGAGTTTGAAAACCGTTCCAAAGCCTTCGAAGCCTTTGAGCGAGATGGCCCCCTGGCACCGGAGGAGGAGGAACGGCGGCAGCTCTCCAAGCGCAAGATGCTTGGAAACATCAAGGTAAAATAAAAATTTTTGTACTTTTGTTTACTAGTTATAAAAATGCTAACTACATTATGAATTCATAATTGATGTTTACCATGTTCTAGTTTATTGGAGAACTGTGTAAGCTGGAGATCTTGGCAGAGGGCATCTTGCACAGCTGTATCCAGCAGTTGTTGCAGAAGAAAAGTGGGTGCTCCGTCAGAGACAGAGCAGAGGACTTGGAATGTCTCTGTCAGATAATGAAGACTTGTGGTCGGATTCTGGACTCTGACAAAGGACAGGTTTGTTAATATTTTATAAGTATGCAGCACTTCTCTGATAAAGAAATACAATTGTCACTTGGTTCAGGCTTGCTAACAATTTTGGATGGTAGAATAGTAGAGCATTGCTGAAAACCATGCAAACTCTGCGAAAGGTATTGTGCCAACTAAATTTAGAGATTGCTCAGGGTGAGTTCAGGGAATGCAGATCTTTTCCCTTATACAGAAGGCCTTTAGGTCCCAGCTGTTTCTTCATTGGCTGATTCAACAGCTGTACATCCCAACTTCTTGCTGCATACAAGCTTCCTTCAGCCTCCTGAAGTGAGGACTGAGCCCAAACTGCTCTGTAGACTAGGATTTCTCTGCCCTTTCATTTCTTGCGTAGCTGGAGTTTGTTGTATGCTGGGTATATTTCCAATTCTGATTGCTTTGCACTTATGAACATTGCCTGAATAGGGTACAGTTTTTAGCTTCTCTCCCAAACAATAACAAAATCAAAAGGAAGGAAGAGTAAAAACACATTGAAAAGTTACTCAGATTATCAACAAATCCAGCTGCATACTGCAAAATTCCAAACACAATTTGCTACAAGACCTTTGTTGGTTAATTTAAAGTAATACAGGGATGAAAATTAACTTAAGTTTATAAAGAGTGGACTAATTTTAATTTGAGTTTGTTGGATACATTTAAATTAAGTGTTTTTCTTTCTCTCTCTTTTTGTTTTTGTTTTTTTGCCACCCAGGAAAATGTAGTAGACGCTAGTTAAAAAATTCAAATATTTCTTAAAAAAGTGGTGTGTACACTTCCTTTATAGAAAACTGTCAACTGCGTTCAGCAAATTTACAACACTACCCACAAATTGAAATATTGTAAGGCCTTGGTTTTGCTATCTATGGGGCACTATTATAAGTATTTAACTGAAATGAATTTAGTAAATTAAGAATTTCAATGCTTGAGAAAATTAAAATTAAATTGCTGTCTGTGCTTCTAGAAATTAATTAATTTCTACATGAAATTTGTACCTTTTTCAGAAACTGATGGATCAGTACTTCCAGCGGATGGCTGTTTTGGCAGACAATCAAGATTTGCCATTGCGTTTCCGCTTCATGTTACGTGATGCTGTTGAACTGCGTCAAAACAAATGGGTTCCTCGTAAAGCCACCAGTACCGAAGGACCTATGCCCATAAATCTGGTGAGAGTTTAGTTTGATAATGTGTGTGGTTATTCTTGCAACAATGATGATGGATATTTTCATTCGTGGTTTCCTCCAGAAAGTTGTTAATGATGGTATGGATATGTCTGAGTTGCAATAGTTGGCTTGTAGAGATATTCTCGCATTGTAAAATCTTTAACGCTGGAAATTTTACCTTGTCAATAAATTTCAGTTGGACTTTGTAAGTGTATTGACATTTTTTTATAGATTCATGATGAGGATCCCAGAGGTCGAGTAGTGAAGTTCCAGTTGGGGAGTGGTGGAGTTCCTGGAGGGGGCTCCATAATGTATGGCCATCCCTTGAAGAGGGGAGATGTAGGAGATCTTTTGAGCTCCTATCCCCTTAGCAGTTCTTCATTCCCGATTCCTTCACCTAACGACAAGTTCTCGTGAGTTTTAGTGATCTTTAAATTTCGGTTATCTCCCTAGACTGGATAAAAATTTTGTGAAGAATTCTATTTTGTCTACACACGAATTAAAGTACCATTGTTTTGTGGCCTTAAGTTCACCTGTTTTTAATGCTAGGTTTGGTGGTAATGGTTATCCATCTGTATATGGGCGCCAACGTCAGCGTCAAGAACAAAACTTCTATTCAGGTGGTGGACGCCAAAACTTCAACCAGAATCACAAACAAAACCACAACAGCAACTCACAGCAGCAGCAACAAAACTTTAACAATTGTGAGTTGGCCTTTCAATTTCATGTTTGTTTAGTTAAGATTAGTATTTATTTCTATTTGACTTGAGTATTTGATTTGTGGAAATAGTTTACAGCAAGTACTATATTTTTAGCTAGTAGCAAGGACCTTCCTCCTCGGTTCAAGAACAGAATGCTGCTAACGTCATCACAGGGGCAGTCTCCAGAAGAAGTCTCCCTACGACCTGCAGCCAATTCGTTGTCTAATCAAGTTAATTCTAAGCCGCCGATGGGGTTGAATTCAGGTAATTTATTTCTAGATCTCTGTATGTTGATTCCTCTAATATTCCGTACAGTGATTCCTCTAATATTTAGAGCTTTTCCTGGTTATTTGTATTTTGAATTGTTTTGAGTTTTTTAAGCCTTTCACTGCTATGCATGTGCCTATGAAACCACTGGGATCTGTGTCCCATCTGCTATGCACAGGTTTGTGTTAATGAGTTTCCCATCTGCCATGTTCGTAGATTGATTGATTGAATTTGCCTTATTTTACGTGGCGAGACTCAGGCCATCAGGCCCGCACTTCCGTCTGACCACGCAAATTTCGCTACGCTCCTTTCACCAACTAGGAGAGAAAGGAGGTATTTCTTGGGCGAGAAACAGGCGATTTGAATTTAGCTCAGAGGCGTCATTTAGGCTTGAGGATCTTTTACATGCAAGTAAATCTACGAACATGGGACAGCTGGCTTTACTTCCCCTCCGAAGGAAGGCGTACGAAGGATTTTTTCGCCCTTAAAAATCCACGGCTTCGATCGGGTTTGAACCCGCCAACTTGGGTACAACAGTCCAGTACGCTAACCATTACACCATCGCCGCCGATGTGTGTGACACACACATAGTTACCCTTTAGGTTTCTGTGATTAATAGGAGCTCTATTTTCTCAAGGTTCTCAGGCTTGCTTTCATTGCAACTAGATGGTTCTTTGTAATTTTGTTAAGTCTAAACAGATCTGGCTTTGCACTATCCGTATTACGCTAAGAGTGGGAGAGGCAAGTGCACTCTTAAAGATAAACAATTTGACACACTTCACTTTTCTGAAGTGTTCTTTAAAGGAAATATTTGGGTAGACATATTTTATCTTGCCTCCTGCCATCTATTTGCATATTGTATTCTTATAATTTCTTACTTCGACATTGGCTTTATATTTGGACACTGATTTCAATTCTGGTTTTATATTTTAAATTATATTGAATCAGTATTGGAGGTTGGTCGGAATATATCTATGGGGAAACTGTTGGAAATGTGTGACCCCTCTCAGCCACTGGGTCTCTTGCCCAGCCAATGAGGTACTAGTGAACATGCCAGCGGCACATATTCTTAGTTTTTCAGGCAATCGCCCTGTTACAAAAAATAACACATAAGCATAATTATAATGAACATCTGACGAGCAATAATAAAAAATACATTTACGAGTTATTTACAGAATGTAGTACTTTTGTTAAGAAAAATAACAGAACAAAAGGCATAGTCAAGAAATAATATTCAAACACAATTTCCAAAACCAGTAAAAGCACACAATATAGTCTTCATGGACAATTTCAATCTTCAAATCATTTGCTAGTCTCATCATCCTCCAAGTAGGCGTGTAAGAGGTGTTTGTTCATGTTGGTGTGACAAATTCATACTGTATATTACATTGCCAATTTCCAAATGCTACTTTACAAGCAACTAATAAAAGGAGTTCGCTACAGTCAATCATGGAATTCATCATTATCAAGAATAGTCATTCAGGGAAGATGCAATTTTAATGCCACATAATTTAAGAATTTATGCTAAATACTCTTAATTTACATGTACAAATCTTATAGTGACTAAGCTTGAGAACCATATTACAAAATTGTCCTCACCATGAAATACAATATTCATAAAGGATCCATAAAATCCAATGTCATTCTCATCACAAACCCCAATTTTTTTGTTTATACTCAATATGCTCTGGAAACTTCATTTTATCATAAAAAAAATCAAGATCTTCAAATTAAGTAACTGTACAAAGTTCCCCATCTTGATCCTAAAAATAAATTATTTTTTACTTTGAAGTCTCTGGAGTAATATGATTTATATTTAACATTTTGAATTCCATTTGTCACTTATGACTTTATCCAATATTAAATATACCAATAGATTTTAATTTGTGATTCAAAATATGAGTATAAAGCTTTCGAAAAGTCTGTATATAGAGTATCAACTTAATCACCTGCTTCCTGAATGTCAATGATATAATGTTAGGAAATAAACTAGTTTGTGGGTGTGGATTTTTTATTTCTAAAACCATGTTGCAAGTCAATCAAAACATAATTACCAAAGAGTGTTTTTGTGATTGTTTCAAGTTTTTTACCTGAACTTGTTTATAATTAGGTCAATTTCTCTCATCAGATAGATTTGATTTAAATAGTAAAGTTATGAAACTACTTTAGCAAATGTTTGGAAATAAGCTGTCCGGTAAAGATTTTGAATGTAATTTGTAACTTAAGTATTTTTAGTAATAAATTTTTTCGGAAAAATTGCAGACGCTCCATCTGGACCATGATTACTGTATTTTTAGCTTTTTAATCACGGTAGACATATTTTTGTAATATTTACCTTTCCCATACTTAGCAACAAATCACTAAAACAACTTGTTTGTAGTATTTACATCATTGTACTCTTTTGAAATCCACGAAAGATTCAGTTTCATTACCATTGTCAGTGCTTACATCATCCAAAAATCATTGATGGAAGTCCATTTACTTTTCTCTTTGAACCAGGCTATTTCCAAAAAGATTTTGAAATGCACGATCTAAGATTTGATTTTTGCTGTATAATTTAAATAGTCTGTTTTTGCAAGCCTTTTATATTCCCTTCCAAATTCACGAAGTTGCCATAACTTGCCTGAAAAGGCTACCTTAAATTTTGCATGAGCATTAGACTTCAAAAGTTTTATCAACTTTCTTGAATACCATACAGGATAAGAAGAATTTACACTAGAAATCATTGGTACAAACTTCAGTTCATTTAATTTGTCATTAAAATAAAATTAAGAATCTTCTAGTGAAGTTTGTGAGAAAACTCTAGACCAATTGAAACATGAATTCGCTGTAATCTTGTAATAATTCACCCTTTCAAATTTAAAAATTGTGTTCCTTAATTGAAGCCAAGCTTCATTACGTTGAAGGTTAAAAAACAAATCAGGAGGAATGAATCACATTTGAATTGATGGTCTTAATAATAGATTATTTAAAATCTTTTATAAATGCCAATTTCTACCAAAATCATTTCACACATTTACTTTACTAACATTTCTAGATATTTTAATGAACAGTACATAAATACTTGTTCTTCCTCATGATTCCACTATTCACTTTGTGGACAACATTCATTAGATTTAAATTATTTCTTTCCTTAAAAATTGTTTGAAACTTCTACTTCACTAGTTTTAGTTGTATCTATAAAGGAAAATATGTACAAAAACATTTACTTTTTAGTTAGATTTAGTAGAACAATGCAATATTACGAATTGTAAGTTGGCGAAATTTTCCTTGATCGTTGTGATCGATAGTCACTGACCAACATGTTTCCGAAGGCATTAAACACAGCTGTGCTACTGTATAAATATGTATACTGTGGCGATAGGACAGGACCATACTCTATCAAGTCTGACATGGAGTAACAGCAGCAGTAGTAGGGTTTGCAGTAAACAGTTAATATGTCAATTTATAAGGATTCTTTTTTCTATTTCTATCAGTTCTGAAGAAGACTTGCATCATGTGGAAGTGGTGTTGATTTAATTCAAATACATTTATTATACATCTTTATTTTGTTTAGTAATCGTGTAGAACTACAGATTGCAGTAAAACTTGTGTATTTTTCTGGGAACTGAAGGGAAAACATGTATGTTAGAAGGCTTAACTGATATTCATTATGGCAGGGTGACCACTTTCTGGAAAACTGAATTTGTTCCATAAAAAAGTACAGGGGAAATAATAATGTTCCAAAATGTATTGTTGGTGTAGAATTAGAGATCGCAATTATTTGCAATTGACAGAACTATGGTAAAATTATTTATAAGAAATTTTATTAATTACCAGAATTGTTTTTAAATAATTTTTAAGTTAATTACATCATTTACGTCAAACTTACAAATTACCAATACTCTAATATATTTGAAAATGTGCGTTTAGTATATACTATAGCAACGCAAGCCCTCTAAACATTATGCATGTGATAGGAAAAGGGGCAGTCGATGAGTTCAAATTTACTTCAGTGTTTGTGAAATTTGTACCTGTTGTTTACTATAGGATCTACACATAATATACCCTTGAACTGCAGGTGGAGAAAAAATTACGTTATAGTTGATCAAGACATGCTTTGTAATGGTGGTGGGGTCAGAGCTAAGCAAAAAACCGGTTGATGAATAGAAGTGATGGGAAACTGAGTCAGTAACAGCAGAAAAAGAGAATGGCTGTAGAATTGATAGTGCTGAATAAAGAAACTAGTAGAAAGATGTTAAGATAAACACACCAGAAAGTATGTGCTAGAAAATGGAACACTTACTAATTTGCTTTGTCAAATGTCATTGATAAGAATTAACCACTACCGCAAACAAAGGCTAATTTTTTTTAAATATTCTGAATTTTTAAGTTTCATAATAGAATCGAAATATTGCATTGAGGATATAATGAGAGTGAAACCTTTTCATGTAACAAAATTGCCAATAACAACAGTTTGCAGGAACAGAATTTTTGTTACTGTAAATGTGAAACTTGAAGCTATTTTTCTTGGAAATCTTTTGAATTTCGAAAAACCTTAGTGGAAGTCATTTTAAGCACTTTCTCACTCTTATGCAATAGTGTATACTTCTTTGATGGCTACAGCCCTTGTCGTGTTTGGGCCTCGCCAATAATTCGCCTCCCAATTTTCTCTGCTTTTCTGCAACACGTTTTTTAATGTATACTAATTTCTGGAAATGTGCATACTAAAGACGTAAGGGAAATTCCGTTTGTGTAATATTTGAAAAACATAATACAGCAAAATAAATTTTATATCATAAACAGTGCAATTTGCATCTTTACGAAAATTTGAAAGAAAAATTTGGAACAGTTTTCAAGGAAACGGCTTTTCAGCGTTCCTGAAAATGCTGAATTATTAGACAATTCTTCATACTTGTAAATACAATATGAAGAAATTGCCCTTATTGTAAATATTCAAGATGTGTGAGGCAAGTCACTCCCTTTCCAGAAGCTTCAAATGAAATTTAAAGCAAATATACTCAGATATAATAATGTGAACAAATTGTTACTAATTTAAATGTTTACAAGGTGAAGCTAGCCAAAAAATTAATTTTTGAAAAACAGAAGAATATATCAGTATGGTGTTTTTCTCCTCATTGAGGATTTTTAACATCCCTATCTAAAGTTTAGACATTTGGTCCTGTTCTGAAGAAAATTTGTTTGTGAATTTTTTTTTAATTGCATGTTAGAATGAAAACTACTAAAATTATCTAAATAATTTACCTGACTTGTACCCACTAAAATTATTGAATGATTTTCAAAATCACAATAAGGAGTTTATTCACTGTCAGGAGGGGGATGTATGCATTGTGTAGGCATTAGGATTGGTGGATGTGCTTTTGTCGTCAACAGATACTTTGGTATCAAGGTCCTACAAAAGATGGTTTCTGCCTACACGTGTTGGAGATAATACACTTAAGTGTGAAAAAATATGAATGTAAAACACTCAACAAAAGTAATTTATCTGAGAGTTACAAAAACGTATACATGTACATACATTGAAAATCAGTGTACAAATATTTCTGATGTAATGGATGTGTGCGTTTGTGAATAAAACATTATGGGCAATTTCTCTCTTAGCATATTAGTGTGCGTTTTTTTTTTCTTCTTCTTCTTCACCAAACCTTATCATTTTACCGGGATGCAGATTTATTTATTTTTTCCTTTTGTTTGATTTCTTGGCATCTTTTATCTTTCTTGATGCTTACCTTTAAAGATTTGCGTCAAGCTTTTTACTTGTTCAGTAATGTTTTTGTTGATGTTGATCATCCTAGAATGGAATTGCAATTAGTTACTTTGTGTGTGGCTTTTGATTCGGTAGTTGAATTGAGGCATTCTGAATGTTTTCAGGTCGACCAATGGGCCTGATGAGTGATCCACTTATGGCTCCCCCTTCTTTGAAGACCAGTTCACCTCTGCTTCACAAAGAACAAATACTTATCAAACAGGCATCGCTTGATCGCAGTAAGAGTGGCAAGAAGGACAAGGTTTGTTAGTTTGGTGCATTTTACAAATTGAACCTTTATTCCAGCAATGGTATATTTAGATCCTTGGTTAGTGTTGAAATTACCTGTCACTCATGGTTAGTCCCCTTTCTGTCCACCAATCAAGACAAATGAGGTGTCATTTGACGTATATCACACTCCTAATGGAACTGATGGGGTTTGGTTTTTGTGATGTGTAGTAGATTCTAAGAAATTTCTCCAAATGTGTTTTAGTGCTTGCAATGGCAGTGGCAATGTGAATTATATACCCTGGCAATGAATGACAGGTTGCTATATATTGTATAACCTGGACACTGCTGCCTACTGTATACAGAACAGGGCTTGGATCATTTGATAGGGAAAGGTTCCTTGTCAGTGTTCCCACACCATAGGATAACAATTGTTTTAATTAGCATAATTATGCCATGTGATGCATATACAATATATTTTTAAAATGGTTTAAAGCATAAGCAATCTCCCATTCACATCGTCAGGTGAATTGTGAACTGAATAAAAACTTGTGGTATTTTAGAGTGCAAATTGTTCAAAACTATTTTGTATTATTTTTCATTTATCATTGAATTGCAATGGAAAAAAAGGCAGTTCACGGTGGACCAGAAAGTAATGTAAATAAAAACGTGAAAAGTGGTGCGGAACGGGTCGATGTAGCATGTGCCTATGACACAAAACTAACATCAGCTTCAACGATAACGAAGGAAAATCCGGAAATCTTGTTTACGGCAAAATAAACTTTCTATTATTTCAGTGTTTTCTTACAAAAGTTTATTCTTCATAATCTGCCTCCATTTTTGAAAATGTGAGTAATTTTCATACTAGTGATTACAAATTTTTGAAAATCTGCATGTTAAAAATAATAATTCTTTAATGGAAATATTTTTCAAATAGCATACTTGTACCACAACCTGCCGCGTTTACTATTCAGTAAAAGTGCTTAAAGTATTCCCTATAATATGCATAAACAATCTTTAATTTATGCAGTATTAAATTCACATGTTTGTACCAATTTTCCATCGTTCTAGAAAACTGTTTTTGTTTGGTTTTGGGTTCTCCGTCCCTCTTGAATGTAACGTTGATGTATATCTGATGCACTCATGGTCAAAGCTAAATTCACTAAATCAGCATCCTTGTAGACTTGTAAAACAATAAGAGAAAAATACATTCGTATATAAATCCAGCCAAGCATTAGATAGGGACAAAAAACGAAAGTTCTTTGCTTCTGCTGTGGGGGCAATCCTATAAAATCTTGTGCCAGTGAACCAGATATAATGGCTGTAATAATTAAATAGGCTTATTGTTTTTATGATAGTGAAATTCACGCTTTTTATATGGGTTTGTGGCCCAATGAAAATTGTTAGGAAACGTTGCCAGGAAGGTTGCTCTTGTGGGTAATTTATTTGTGAAATTTTTGCAGGGTCCTACGAAGGATGAAGTATTGAAGAAAATAGAATCTTTAATGGAAGAATATTCAAAGACAAACAATGTCAAAGAAGCATTAAGTGCATACAGAGAACAAAAGATACCAGATCGATTTATCAGCCAGGTGCTTCTAACTATAATGGTTCAAACTTTGGATAAGAATGGTTAGTGCATTAAGAAATATTACTGGAATTTATTATTTACATCTTATCTTGTTTTTTATAATCTTATCTTATTTTGACAGATTCTGCGAGAGAGTTGGCAGGAAATTTGATTGTAGAGTTGAAGAAAGAGACTCTTGTTACTTCAGCACAGTTCTTAGAAGCTTTCAATGAATTAGTGGGTCAGATGTCTGAAAAAGAAAAGGAGATTCCTCGTATTTACTCTTACGTTGCAGGTACAATGGCACTTCCATAAAATGGTTTTTAATATTTCTTTCTGTCTTTAATATATTAATATTGTTGTTAAGGATACATTGGCGAGATGGATTATGTCTCACAGAATAAAGGAAACCAATATTGCTGAGTTCCAGGTTTGATGGTATAAAAGCAATTTGAAATTACATCAGTAGGGTAATTATATAAGTAATGCAATGATACACGTAATACAGAAAAATGATAGTAACTCAGTTAAAGTGCAGTGAAAATAAATTTTGGTTACAGACGGTCACCCTGTTTAATTATAATATATTTTAGTGTCGAAAGATGGAAAACACATGGGGGTAAAAGATTTGTGAACAGTGTAAACTTAAAAGCAAATCACTAATCCAGTCTCGTGGTCAAAATTACCTTCAGGTTTATGTCAACTCTTTCCGTTAACATTGAATATCCTATCACATAGTCTCTCTATTTGATACAAAAATTATTTCTCCCTACCCTACTGTTCTTGCTGCTTTTTCCTGGAAGCTGTCCTTTCGAAAGAGTGGCATTGACTTCAAGATAATGCAATCTTACATGAGCAATATATTGTTACATTGGGGACCATGAAACTTTGCCCTTTCTCTTACTTTACAATTAATCTACAAAATTTGCTGTAATGCAAAGTTATTCACAACTCATTTCAATGTAGAAAACGTGGTACTTGCAATCTTCTATTAAAATTATTTTGTTTCAGGATTTGCTGCTCATTCAGTCTCAAATGAGTTGGCTTCTCTTGCTGAATTCTCTGATGTGACCGAAAATGGTGCACATTTTCCTCTCTTCATGCTAATACTGCAGCAACTTCACAAAACGCAGGGAAAAGCTAAACTCACTCAAATTTTCAATGATAGCAAGGTATTTTTATTTTTTGCATGTAACCAGTTTGTCACTACACTGTGTAGAGGCTTTACCTGTCTTAACCAATTTCTTTTTCAGTGGATATTTTTTACAGAGGAAATTAAGGCAATTCTCTTGAGCTTGTGCTTTTATACTGAAACTTGGTAAAGATCTTTACTGTAGAATTAATGTTAATCCCATTTTCAATCACAGATGTCAATAAGCTTTTTAATTTCCAAAGAGCTATTCTGCACCAAAAGTTATAAGGAATGATTGGTTACTGATTTGAAAAATTTATTAGATTTCCGACAGGGAAGTGCCTCATTTTAATGTGTGTGTGTGTTTTTATTTTTATATATATATATATATATATATATATATATATACACACACACACATACATTTATGTATCATGTAATGCCTATTTCCTGAAACTTTCAATTTCCCGAATTAACCAGTTAATATTGACTTTAGCCAAAGTCAGAACAGCTGCAAAACATTGACATTTGTTTATAATCTTTTTTGAATGGCCATATCTTTTTCATTCAGCTGCTAGCAAACTTTATTAGTTAATTAATAACAAAATAACATACGTTATGCAAGACACACAATTTTATCACTATGGTATGGGGGATCAGTTTAAACATTTAGTTCCTTTATATACGTTTTTTTGTTTTGTTTTCCAATTTGTAAACAAATACTCAAACCACAGTAATATTCGTAAGTGTAATGTAAAACCTGTCATACTGTTCGCTTGTCGGTGGAGAAATTCTTTGGTGATTTCTAATGATATGAAATTTATTTTACACTGAATGCAACAGTCCAGAAGTAAATTAACTTCATTCCAGTATCCAGAGTTTTTAATTTTGTTGTTTTTCATAGACCAATACACATTTTTCTTTATTATTGCAATTAATTCTGTTCACCAACAAACAATATTTGACTTAATCTTTTGTGTGTCTGCAGGTGAATCTCTTGAACATGCTGCCAGAAGTAGATCGCACAAAAGATAGGCTATCTGAAATTTTGGAGGAACGTGGACTCAGCTTTTTGTTTCCACTTCTTCGCATCCAGTCAGAGTTGTGGAAACAGCTCCAGGCAGATCCTAATCCAACCACATTTTATAAATGGATTCGTGATAATTTAGAACCCTCTCATCATACTGACCCTGGTTTCATCAATGCATTAATGACAGTTTTACTTCAATACATCACTCAGGCAAGAACATAGTTTCGATTTTCTGTAGAGATGGATTTTTCTTGAGATTATAACCATAATCAGAATTTAATAGGTTTCAAAACCCGGTAAATTTTCTTTTCTAGTGTCAATGAAATTTGTTGACATAGAAAATGTCTTGTCACTAGGCTTTTTATTTTCATGTGACTTGGAATATTTTGGTATGAAGTTTCATTTGGTTAGATTAAGATATTGCTAGGTATTTAGTGACAGTGTTTAATTTACAGGAATCAATCGGAACTGAGGCATCAGGAGCTGTACCAGATAAACAACTGCTGGAAAAAGAGAAACTTCTTTTGGAGAAGTTCAAACTGGTGCTTCAAGCTTTCCTTCATGATCATCTTAAGTTGCAAGTGATTGCTGTATACTCCTTGCAGGTGTACTGTTTTTCCCAGCAGTTTCCAAAGGGTTAGTATATTAGTTTCTTGATAAATATTTGTGATTTTTTGTAATGATCTTATGAGAAATGTATTAGGGGCTGATTTTACCTACAGCAGGTACAGGGTTCGTCTCGAGTTAATCTTGTTTAGTAGAGTAAGTTCTTAGTGCTTTGTAATGGTACTTCACTAGTAAAAAGAATCAGAAGTAAATCACTAACAACAGTAAATTTGAGATTAACTTCTCTCTGCAAAAGTGTCAAGTAAATGAATAAGTTGCAGCTTTTTTGGTAGGGTTAGGTGTGTCACATTTCAGTGCAAAGACTGATGCTGTGGGAGAGAATTGTCATAATTTTCAAATTATGACAGGATTTTTTTATGGGATTACCAAGACATCCGTCCTTTCCTTTCCTTGAAAAATTTAAGATAGAATATTCTTCTCATAGATATCTTTACAATTCACCAGAAAAAATTTTAATGACCTTTACATGAAGAAGTGAGGAAGAATATGCCCTGACAAAAGTGAGGTGTAGTAGTAATAGTAGTAGTAGTGTAGTAGTAGTAGTAGTAGTAGTAGTGTAGTAGTAGTGTAGTTGTAGTGTAGTAGTAGCAGTATTTTTGTTTTCTTTCGTTAAAAATCAATGAGGTGAGTAAAGGAAATGTATATTAATGTGTATACTCAAATATTACCTGTACTCTAATTTTCCGGTAATGAATCTTCAAAAAATAACTTTTCCACTTTTATTGCAAATATTTTATCTCCTTGAAAATTCTGCTCAAGGCCCATCTCCTTAGTGGCATTACAGGAGGCATTTCTTGGGCCTGCCTCTAATGTTGTGACTTTATGAAGCAGTGCTTGGTACCTCAGAATGCACAAGGATGTAGTTGTGATCATGCAACAGCACAACCGAAAGAGACAAAATGCTGTGTAATATGCCACCATGTGATAACGTGCAACATGCTTTTGAAGTTCATGGTACCAACATTGATTTGAATATTACCTGCTATTATATGCATAATCTGAATGGCTAAGATTAAAGTTTTTATAAGGGTCTTTGTATGTCACAAAACTTGTAAATGTAAACATAACAATAAGCAGTGAATACAATGAAAAATTTAATGAATACATAATAAATAAATAATAAATCTACAATTAATTTGCTGGGCAATCCAGCCAATACTTTTTAATGGGCCTGTAAAGGTATTCTCAAACGAATACCTCTATATCAAACGACACCATTGCTGACATTTAGTTCCACGAAACTGATCAGTCCTTGCATTCTGTGGTTTTGATGAATGTGTATCACTGCATTTTTCAAGTCATGGAAATAATAGAAATTAAAAATTTGCTGCCATCTCTAATATTACCAGTCAAATTTAGGAATGAAGCCGTAAAATTTCAGTTCAGAATATGTCACACAAATGTTTAATACTGGGACTGTCTAGTACATTCTATTGAAGATAGTGAGAGAACTATTAACAAAATTTAGGCTAGTGATATGGAAGGAATTATTTAGGCGGCATTAGATGAAATTATGGATTTAACTATCCAGGCAAATCTTTGAGGACAATACAGCTTAGGACGGAGAAATAAGGATACAAGTAAGTTGAAGACAGTGATGATTTTAGAAACGAGGAAATATCTCAGACAAGTTTTTAGTTTTCCGTCAAATAGAGAGTATTCTAGTCAGAAAATTCGTAATTTATTTTCACTAAATAGAAAGAAATATACAAATAAATACAAATATTGAAAATTTTCTGGAAGCATCGTCAAAATTGGGAATCTACTTTTTGTGGCTAAATACAGTAATTCTTTTTCAAACGCATAGAAGTATAGAAAGATGGAATCTAAACTCCGTGCCATTCTTCTATTCATTTCTCCATAATTACATGTGCTTTTGAATTCAAACCTAACCCAATTTAAAATGGGAGGAGGAATCTTGTTGTATTGATTTATTTTTTATTATACACTACTCTATAATTAGTTACTTAAACTTTCGACATTATTCAGATTCAATTATCAGACAGATTCAGAGATTCAATTTTCAGACAAAATTATCACAAATCTGAAAAACTAACATAATTTACCAGTAAGTATTAAGATCAACACTACGTAATTTAACGAACAATTTCTTCATGATGTACATCTCAGAATACAATGCAACACATTAAAATAAAATTTAAAACGTTCATATAACATACTGTGTAACTCTGATTGACCATATACAATTTAGAAAGTATGAAATTAACGAATTATAAAAGTAAATAATTTGAAAAACTAACAATTTGCGATGTTTATTTAGAGGAGCTAGAGGATCAGCTGTATTCAGAAAGTGAACTCCTTGCAACTCATTCAAAAAGCCAAATGTCAGCAGAGCTCGTATCCATACATACACAATCAGCAATTTTATGTACCATTTTGTTACATTGTTAGAAGTGAACCTGTTTCTGTTTAGTTTAAGATAAAAAAAAAATTTCTAGAATTTAATTACAGCACTTAAAAACTCAATTCATTTAGCAAGAGGAAAAATCACACCTGTAAAAGTTTAAACAAAAATATGTTGACATACAAGTTTAGAGTAATTCGTACGGCCTTTTTGAAATTTGGAGGGTACTGGTACTGTGTGCACAGAGGGGTACATACCAGTGTTCACAGTGAAACTGTGTAAAGTTTCGTATTCACTCTCACACATTTTTTACATTTATAATTTTTTTTGTTAAGTCCCAGGTATATTCCTATAAATCCCCCTCATGAAACTTGTAATAAAGGAGATTAACATAGCTGAGGTGCAAGCCTGCAGAGTGGTAGTGCAATGTCACTTCTGGGACCACTCCGGCTGTAGAACTTCGAAAATTTCAATAGGATGCATATGAGAGCTTTCTGGGGATCATAAAAGGTGCCGGCTAGCTCCAAGAGAAGGTCAAAGGTGTCTCCAGGAGAGGGTAGTTACATAGATGATTAATAAATGAAGTTTGTGCACTGGCTGCCCCCACTCTGAAAGCCCTTTTGCTCACTAATATACAAGATCCTTTCAGTAGCAGCTAATGAAATTGATCGCTTTATAGTGCAGCAGGTGATGTTAGGCTGTGGCAGTTGTGCACTTCCTGTTGCCCAAATAAAACTCCGTGCTTTGACTCACAGAATCTCAATTAACATCTGGTTTGAAACCAAAGCAACCAGCTGTGGCATGCCACCACCAGTTGGACGTTACACAGGATACTGCCTCCGTTTCCACAGTAAAAGTGAGTTGCAGAGGGTCATCAGTAAGATCCCCATTGCAGGTCCACTATCTCCACCCTGGGAGTGACTTCTTAGTTCTTCAGATGAATATTTTTTTCGAGCTAACCAGCATTGTAATTTGTGGCTCTGAGGTTGTGTGTGTAAATCGAAGTAGTTTGTCTTCTTCTTGGTTTTGTGTCTACAACATTAAACAAAAATATGTGGTAGGAATATCATATAAAATAAAAAAATCTTAACTTATTGGGATGATGGGTAGTATCTTTTGCCAAATAACTGGTTAAAAGATAGTGTAAAAATTTTGTTTTTATTTTGCTTGTGTTAAATTTGTTGTTTTGCACACTTGAGCATTTTTGCCTCCAGTCCCCTGAAAAGTGTAAGTGAAGCTTTCGTCTACAAAATTGCATTCAAATGCTATTGCTTAAGTTCATTATCCCTGCAAATAAATATGAACTTTGGTTAATTTACTTGTTCTAGGAATGTTGCTTCGCTGGTTTGTGAATTTGTATGACTTGGAGATAATTGAAGAGGAAGCTTTTCTGCAGTGGAAGGAAGATCTGAATGAAGAATATCCGGGAAAAGGAAAGGCTCTATTCCAGGTGAGGAATTTACAGTGTACAGTGGGATTGTGTTAGCACATTCTCCATTGTTTGGAGTGTCCCATTTAACCTAACAATTGAAATCATTCAAAATATTTATTTTTTTGTTCGATGAAGGTCTTAAAGGGATAAATCTGTCTAACTTCAAATCAAACCCTGCCCCTTTTCTTATTGCAGATTTGGATTTTGCACCAAAATTAATTTCTGGTGAATGGTGCTGCAATCTCAAAAGTGATGTTTTTTGCTATTCGTGAGAAATTACTTAAGATTGACAAATACAGAAACAATTTTGTGCTAATACTGTTATTTTAATAATTTTTATTTTGTAAATCAGATTTAATTATAACAGTTGAGCCCCGCCTTTGAGGGGTGGTCATTTTCAAATCCTTAAATGGAAACTCCTGTGTTTTCATTATAGACTTAGATTTAACATTAGGTTTTTTCAAACATGATTAGTTGGTGTTATATTTTTTTATAAAACTTGTGTGATTGTGAGAGGCAAGGCAGGTGACCTGCAACACCCTGATGGAGAGGAACGAGGGGACTTGCCTAAAACAATCACCTTGAAGGGATTAAAAACCACATTGTTCCTCGGCGATTCTATAAGTAGATTGTTGATAACATTTAACACTAATGAAGAAACTTTCTCGTTAAATCTATTTCTTAATGCAAAAATGGAGTTTCCCATTTAAGACTTCTAGTTGCTACCCACCCTGCTTTCTATAAGTGAGTGGGTCTTAATCTGTTATTTCAAGATACTTTTCATTACTTCAAAAATTATACTAAATAGTTTAAAAATTATTGACCGGACGCTTCTTTATTTTTCAATCAAGCGTTATTTTTAAAATCGCTGCTCTGTCCATCACGAATCAAAAAAAAGTTTTACACAAAACTTACGTATTTTTTAGTTTTGAATTTAAATCTGCAATAAAAAATAGTAGTTCCCTTTTAATATTTGTTGCCTCTCCTCCACCCCCGCCCCCCTTGTTTTCCTGCTTAACACATTCAAAATATTCGGTCCCTTGATAAACGTACTAATGAAATTTCACTATCTCAGCTCTGTCGTGATAAAATCAAGTGATTGTGTATCTAATTTCTAATGTTACTTCACAGGTGAACCAGTGGTTAACATGGCTGGCTGAAGCTGAATCTGAAGAGGAAGAAGAGGGCGAAGATTGATGTTGGTCCCTAAAGCATAGCAGTATTGCCAGTGAAATCAAAATTTTTGGCAGGAAATAGTAATGTGGAAAAAAATGAAATTTTCTTACTCTTGTAACATAGCTTCTGGTAAGCCATGATAAAAGTACTCTGTAAATTGACTTTTGGATGCACTGTTACCATTTATGGCATGGAATTAAGGAGCTTTAATGAGAAAGTAAGTTTGTGGTTTAAAAATGAAGTGAAGAATTTGAAGATAAAGCATGCAGGAAGAAATGGTCGAAGGAGAAGATTGTTCAAAGGCATTCAAAAATTTGACCACAAACAAATTTTTTGAAGTTATGATGCCAACAAAAAAATAGTAAAATGTACCCATTTGGGTTGTTTCTAATTTTTTTATTATTATTATTAATATTATTACTAGATCCTTTTCATTATGCAAGAATGATCTTTATTAACAATTCGTCTTTTTCTTTGCAAATAGGTAATGTGTGTGTCTGTGTGTGGATCTGTGCTTGGTAGAAATAAGCAAAATCTATAAAATATTAGTCTTCTTCTGGTCCTTGGGAGTATGCAAGGCTTGTGTGAGAATTTTAGAATTTTTTTAAGTGTATTCTTTGTGCCTTTGCACTTTGGGCTCCTTGTGGATGATTTTTATTGTAGATGTTTTGAAAGTCTGTGGCTTGGTATCACGACAATTGCATGGCTGTATTTATGTCATGAACTTGACTTGGGTTCGTATGTCAACTAAGTTGATATTTACTCTGGTAATTTTCATCTTTTGTTGTTGGAGCACTTCAGGAATACGTTCATATAATATTACCCATTATCATTTGTAAAGTAGTGAGATGTACATTAATTATTTCCAAATGAATGTATTGTCCACATGTATTGAAATAAACTTGCCGTGGTGTAATTTATTAACAACAGTGGAATATCATTTATCTGCTTTTTTATAAAAACTTCATTTACTTCATACCCAACACCCTTGGTTTTATAGTACTGCAATATTTAACCTTTACTGCTGGAGCGTTAAATAATGAGTGGCTCATGTACTATGTGCTTGGTGCTTTCTTGCCCATTGTTGGCATTAGTATAGTGAAGTTGTACTGAATACTTTTTTCATGAGGATGTTTGATGGTACAACCAGAGTAAGGTTAATTCCAAAGAAACGTTAAAGGAAAGGTTATTCATGGATATTTAGTAGAGAATTTTAGGCAGAAAAACTTGGAATGGCCCTGGCAACAACGATAAATCTAGTTTCTAAATTTGGAAAGTAATTGTCACATCTGAATCCATTTTCCCCTTGATATCAAAAAATCGTATTACTTCAAAACTGCTGTCAATTTGCAAAGAACCCTAGCAGGAACCAATGGAAAATAAAGTTGGAGCCAAGAACCTAAGGAGTGACCATTAAGATATGATCTGATGTACAACGCTTTACAGGATGATGTGACCAAAAAGGCTGAGAAGCACAAACACGCAAAGTCAAATACATTTGTGTCCACTATCAGAAATTGTACTCTTACAATCCAGATCGCTGATAACCAGAGGATATACCAAAATAAAGCGAAGTTCACACCAAAATAAGATAAGCAAGATTAAGAGTGGGATCAATGTTAAGGACGCAATCCAATCTTCCGCAACTGTCTCGAAGTGAGCGGTGTCCCTGCGTCGCTGCCGGCGCCAGGAGAAGAAGGGTGGATGCGCACGCTGGTCCTCCGCCGCTAGTGCTGCCGGGCCTGCGCCGTGGCACTGGGTGTAACTACGGCTTAACCGCCACTATACCCTCCGCGCCCATATGCGACGCGTACGGGCCTAACCGTACTGTGCGTCGCAACCTTAGGCGGCTGCTTGTTCGGGCCGCTCTTCAGACAACCCTGCTGCTCGGCCCTTCACCACTGGTACGGGCTGCTCCCTCTGGAAAGGCCTTCACGTCAGCGAACTGAATCACCAAATTCTTCCGGCCTCAGATTATGGTCTACTTCTGTCGTATCAAAACGTGATCTAACATGTTTCGTGACCTTTTTGTAGAAGTGTAATCTCGTAGTTACTACTGTGCACTTCGTACACCAATCGCTGTACCCAAGCTGGTGATGATTTAGAGGTGATACTAAACAGCTTTTCCCCCACTTGAGAGGAGAGCCGTGATGTACACCTCACTCTCCGGCTGCAAAAGGGAGAGGTATGTTCGCGGCTGGTGCTTATGCAATACTTCTGCCAGGCTCTTGCCATCTTGGCCCGGCTACCCCGTGTATTCCAGCACTCAAGGCCCGTTCCCGCCATCTTCACCTTGCTCATAGCAGTTCTTACGAATCTCTCAGCTTTTTTTATATGAGGATGAAAGGGCAGCAAGCAGAGGTTGGTGCACTCCTTCGATCTTGCTGAACTTTTCGAATTTTCTTCTCGTGAACTGCATGCCATTGTCGGTCAGTCTCCTTCCAGCACGAAGATGCATTCCAACGTGTCGCCGCCGTGGTGGATCACATCTCTACTGCAAATAGAAAATTAGAAATTGCATCCACCAATCACATGGAGCCCCAGAAAGTACCCGTAAATTCTGCGTGCACCAGTTTCCCACGGGTGCTTCCTAGGGGCTGGCTACCTGATTCACTTGACACCACACACCTGCCCACCAAGTTCTGTGTCTTCCAATATGTCCCAAAACTATCTCTTTGCCAACTCTTAGTACTCACCAGACCCCGTGATCTAAAAGCAGGAGTTTGAGGACCTGTTTCCGCAGGGTGCCGTTCACCACCGCACCACCATTCGCGTAGCCTCTGACGCCAACAGCAGCACCCAACAGGTCCCCTTTTCCTTTAACGTGTTCAACGGCGCCGCAATTGAAGAAAATCCCTTTAGGAACTTGTATGGTGATTTTACCGATCGGTACCTGCAGCTGCTTAATATCCTGGCGTGGGGGAGGTTTATTATGGTCTCGGTATGCTTGTATATGCGCTATACCCTAAGCGCCTTGTTTAGAACCTGACCTAGGAACGTCTTTAAAGAGTTCACATATTTACATTTACCCGTCTAGGAGTATCTGTAAGTGGATGTCACTTACATCAATTTGAAACTGTCCCCCCGATAATCTCTGGAACAAATCCCCGGGATGAGGCATTGTTTTACATTAAGCTGCTTGTTAACTGCGCTTGGAAGTCTCCACACAGACGCACGGCCCCGTTCTGTTTCTTAACAAACACCAGCGATGTACCCGAGGGGTGGTGGGGAACCGTGAAATAATGCATTCGGCCTCTCATCTCAACTCCGCTTCCACCTTATCCTTGAGTGCCTACGGCACTTGCCTAGCCTTGTAAAACCGTGGTTTGTATCCCTCTAAATCTGAGTGAGTTTGGAATGTTGAACATTATCCTAGGCTGTCCTCGAATATTTCAAGAAAATCTCGCTCAAACTTCCTAAGTCCCATGGGTATCTTGCTCAGTGATTGAATTCGGCTCATCGACGACCCCAAAACCAAATTTGCTGAACGAATCCAAGCCTAAGATATTCATGACGACGTAGCCGTCAACTGCTATTTCCAATTCTATCTTGTTTATGACTTGCCCACAGGTGTTTTCCCACACGCGCTAAGGCGCACCTAGCCTCTCATAAGTGGCGGCCGCCCCGGAGTCCATTAGGAACTGCACCGGCACACCCGCAAATCTGATTTCCACTAATATTCTGTTGTGTCCCTGCCTGTCCAGCACCGCGTTAATTCTTCTACATGTATCTCCTCTTTTGCCTCTGCGCTGCGACCGAGCCTTTCTCACGTTCCTACATACTTGATGCGACCGAACTTACCGTACCTAAAGCACACGGCCTGGGATACCTGCAGTCTTCTCGCGAGTGACGCAATCTCTTGATGACTTCCACTCTGACCGCTTTTCTTTCCTTGCCGCGTACCTGCTCTTGACCTTGCTCTCCTTGCCACAGCCCGTTCTTCCTGCATGCTTCATTCACGCGGTCGCTGTTATCGCTAGGTTCCCTGCTGCTACTCTGACGATTTCCGTTCGCTTTTCAACCGAACTTCGCACCTGAGCCACCGGTGCTGGGCTCGTCAGGCGAAGCAATGTCTTCGCGGTCAGCTCGTGAAGTGCTGCTATCTTGCGCACCTGATCCAGCGACCGATCAGCTTCCCTTAACGCCTCCTTACAAATTTTATCGACCGGCGTGTGCAGAATTACCATGTCCCTGATCAGAGTATCGACGTAAGATGCGCCACAGTTTTTCTCCCCGCATCTGAAATGACCTTTCGCGCTTCCAATCAAATCCATAAACCACTCGGTGTGTCTGACATTCCTTCTTTCTTAACTAAAACATCGCGTATCTGGTAGCTACTACTTGGGGCGTTCGCAGAAAATTATTGTTCAGCCCGTCTGTTATTTCGGTCCACTTACCGTCGTCTCCATATCTGGGAATAATTTCTTTGGCAAGTTCGCCGTGGGGGGGGGGGTCCCGATGCTACTCAAGAATAAAGACTTCCTTGTGCTGACCCGTGACTCCATGGCACAACATGTGCTGTTCGAAACTTTCAATGTAATCTCCCCATTGTTCTACCTTCGGATGAAAAGTCAGAATGGGAGGAGGCGGGCGCATGTAGACTGCTCGACTCGCAGACTTCAATGTCTTTGCCCATGTCTGGTACGTTGCTCCACATCCTCCTGCTGAGCCATCGCTGCCCGCGGACTGCGCCGCTGCCGGGGAAAGAGGGGAGGATACGCACCAACAGGAGAAGAGGCAACAGAGATAAAATATATTTTTTTTAAAATAATGTTGCTTGATTTTTGAGCGGTGACCATCATTATTGGCAGTCTTGCTGTAAGGTTAAGGTCTAATTGTTAAATATATTGCAGCAATTCGCAAGTCACAGAAAGTGATTTTCTTATGGTTCCTGATTATGAAAGTAATTACTTTCAAAAAACATTTCGGTAACACAACTTTCAAGTAGGTAAGAATCAAAAGGCATGTGCTTAACAAACGTAAACGGTATTATTTCTTCTGCCACCAAATTTCGAAAAGCTTTTTCAGATAATGGACATTGACTCATTTGACATGGCCAATCCTCCATATTTCTTCATAATACTTACGTGTCCAAAGTTATACCTGTCACTATCTTATCCCTTGTTAGAGAACCAAATGCAACGTAGGTGGGTGTGTTCAATTTTGCCTACAATTTCCCTATTAGAAGATTGTAATTCAATCGCACGACAGGCTCCTCTGAATATACATGCAATGAAATGTAGGACTTCGTCCCTCTCTTTAATAACACTTGGGTTGAACCAATATGGCCGCTGAGTAAACTCGCTGGCTTCATGGGAAACCTCTTTGAATGACTCTATAGTACTCTTTGTTTATATATTGTGATGAATTATTCTGGTGTTTTAAAAAAATCATCATGAAAAGTTTTAAAGGGAATGCATTAGAAAAGTAACGATGGAGGTCAACGTTGACGACGAAATTAAAATACAAATAAAGAAACAATAATAGGAAGTAACCAGTGTAATAAAACGACGGAAAATAAAGTTCACGAATAACCATATTTAACAATATGAATAATAAATATAAATAAATAGAAAAGAGACCGGATGTCAAAGAGTAAATACAGTGATAGGTAAGTACGTAAGAGTGGCACCACGGATGGTAGGATGTGAGAGCAGAAAATCATCGTTCAAACTTTCTGAGGAGCCCCAGGGAAGTTAACTGACTATTCAAATTATTTTACGCGCAGGAAGATCATGTTGTCTTGTAGATTTTAGATTAATAGAATATGATATAATATTAAAGAATTGAAGAGAGCATGGCCATGAATGAAATAATCAGAGAATGAATGTGATGAGTAGATGTCTGTAATATTTATGTTCTTGTGTATTTGTAGCGATTTCAGCGAGGTTCAGAAATCGTAAAAGGAATTAGAGAAGACGGAAATTAT